GCGTATCCCGCGTTTTTCCAGCATGCAGTCGGTACACAAATCACAGCAGCTACTCTCAAAAGCCCATAAACTCAGGTGTAGTTACAAAGTGTACAAGGGAACGCATCGGGTATACCAAGGTCGCAGAATTTCGAGCAGCAGGAGGTGGCTGGGTTGTACGAGTCTCAAAAACGTGAAGGGGTGCAGAAATACTCTCAATCCCCTGATAGCCATGCAACGTCATAATGACAACGCCTATTACCGGCGGCACCTGCCCCTCCCCCGCGCTGGCGCCTGTTCCCACGTTCAGAGGAGACTGTCACGTAGTTCCACCTATTCCCCTGACTCTCCCGTCCATCAGTCACATGCGCCACGGGGGTGGTCTGCACCTAGTCCGCATCAGGCGAGACGGTACCTACCCAGCTCCCGGCGCAGGGGTCTGACCCCGGCATCGGCCGGCCGGAAGTGATCGGTGTCCGGCCGGAAGGGGGCCGTCCGTCGACGCGCCACTGACAGGGTCGAGGGGTGCCGCCGGTCCCGCCGGCTCCGGTTACCGGGACACGCCGATGGGAGCCGCCCAGACCGCCTGGCGCCGGCCGCCTCCTGCCGCTCCTCGGGTCGGCGTATAACGACCTGTCCCGCTGCAGCCCGCCGACGCCCCCGTGGACTGGGCGCCGGCACCGCGCCTTTGACTTGTCACCCGCCGGAGGGCAGAAAGCTAAGAATATTTGTTTTTCAACTTCAGTGCGTATTACTCGGATCAGCATTTTCCTTTTATCACTAACTAAAAACACCCAGCCGAAGGGCATAATACCGCTGGTCGGTAGCTTTTCTTGGAAATTATGGTACGCTGCTTATATCAATTGGCCAATAGTGCAACACAAATTGCGCTGTAGAGCCCCACTGACAACGTCCATGATTCAACGAAATGTCGCTTCGAATTCGCGAGAAAACAGGCGAATGCGCAGGACGAGCTACATCCGTGAATCTTATTTAGTTCGGCCACATTCGGTGCCTGCGAGCGTGGCACCAAAATTTGACGTCTGGAGGTCCCGCCAACAATCTGGGGGCTCCGATCGGTGCTCTGGGCGGAGTGAACTATGATCTGGGGGCTCCGATCGGTGCTCTGGGCAGAGCGAACTATGATCTGGGGGTCCAGACTGGTGCTCTGGGTACAGCAAATTATTATCTGAATTGTGGAGCACTAAACCTTTGAAGCAACAGGATCGTCGCAGCCGCCAGAGGGTTGTGTCGGGCCTCTGTCCCTCCCGGGACGGGCCTGCGTAACGCCTCGCATGTCGGTGGCATCTTTACAGCGTTTGCGACTGGGGATAGACAAAGCTTCCCACATATTTGGAGCAGTTTGAGTCCCACAGTTGTCTTGGACAAAACACGTGGCATATGCACTAGGCATAGGAAGAAATCATTGGTAATCATTGGTACTTCAAATCATTTCAAAAAGCTTTCGTCTCGCCAGCTGGCTGTGTCATCCAGGCGCATGCATTGTCTTATATGCGTTATATATATATATAAATAGATAAATACATGAATATATATATATATATATATATATATATATATATATATATATATATACCTAAAGGAACGTCAATGTCGTCCGTCTAATAAGCGTCGACTTTTGACGTGTACGCAATAAAAAGCTGGTCTAGCTCGTAGGCAGTGCTAGTGCAATGTTGGAGATCTAACAAATATGACAAGTGACATTTTATCCCTGGACACAGCTCTCAACTTTGCCTTGTGCGTGTCATTCCGATGGCAGCGACACTGGACCTGCACCATGAGAACGCACCGGGGTCTCGTCAGCAACGCCCGGTGTACGGTCGTCCGGCGTCTCCAGCCCCGCGGTACAGCGAGGGTACGGCCGCCGGAGGGGCCGCGCGCCGGCTGTGTTTTCGGCCGCTGATTTATGCTCGTGCCGGCCGCTCTCCCATGATGGAGGGGGCGGCGGACGGCGGTGCTGGCGCGGCGGCGAGGGAGCGAGGGCGTGCCGGACATAGCGAGCGGCCGCCGAACCGGGCTGAAGTCGAGCCGGGCCGTCCCGGAAGCCCAGCGCCAGCAGCAGGAGGACAACAGGCAACAGCTTGCCAACGCCAGGCCAACCAAGCACTGAAGCTCGACTGCCTGACGCTGTGACTAGGTGGAATGGTCTCCTCTCGGTCTGCCAGGTTTGACTAGTGCTCTCCCCACCCAACCGGCTGCAGGACTGGCGCTATATTCTCCAACGCTCTCGGTCAAACTGGTACACCACCCAACCCTCCCGGTCAGACTGGTACACTCCCCGTCCCGAGTCAGACCGCTACACTTTCCCGCCTCGAGTCAGACTGGAACACTCCCGTCCCGGGTCAGACTGGTACACTCCCCCGCCTCGAATCAGACTGGTACACTCCCCCGCCTCGAGACAAGCTGGTGCACTCCCCGACACTTCCGGTCAGACTGGTACCTTTTAAGATGCTCCCAGTCATCTACACAATACATGATCAGACCTCTGTCAGCCTGATATCAAACATTATTATCAAACATTCCCGGTCAGACCGGTACCCGCTGCAATCCTCATAATCGGAGTGGTGTATCTGTATTTGTGGTGTATCGAATCAGTGATCTTCGGCGAATCAGTGATCTCCCTGCGGAAGAAGTGACTAGAAGGATCTGCGATCCTCCCGGCCACCCTTCTACCCTCCCGGTCAGGCTGGCACAATCTCTGACCCACAACAAACCAAGAATGCAATTTTGATGCAACGCAATAGAGGGCAAGGAGCAAGTTTTTTCGGCACTCCCGGCCTCTTTGATGGCAAAATTCGTCGAGTTTGTTGACCCTAATCTCTCTCTTTCTCTCTGAACCCGTCACGCGCAGTGCGTTCGGCGAAGTGGAGTCACAAGGACACAGCAGCGTGCGCTGCCTGCCCGCTGCCCCGCCCCAGCCGGCCGCGGGGCGTAGGTCCATGCATACCGGTCTTGACTCAGCGTGGCAGTGTGCAGCAGAACGGTCAGAACACCGTTCGGCGCCTTGGCCCGCTCCCCCGTGGCGGCATTCCGGGTCGGGTGCTCGCCGACCCCAGCTGGCTCCGGCACGTGGCCGCGTGTGAGGTCGGGTAACTCGGTCACAGTTCGGCCTCCCTCATTGGCCCCGGACGACAGCTGCAGACAGATGGCCGCTGCGTGCTCCACCCGCTTCCTCCCGATGTTTTCTCAAAGGCGGACATGGAGAACTCTGTTTGCTAGGGCAGTCAGGTTTGGGAAGTGGAACAGTCTGACTTTTCGTCAAATTCGCGGCATAATAGCTTGATTTCCGCATATTTTTCGTCTGCACAGCGCGTTTCCTAGCTTTCGTTACATCTATTACACGGGTACTTTGGCAAATTAGTGCGTCGCTAACATCGCCGAACACCCACGAGGAAAAGCAAGGCAAATGAAAGGTACCTTTTTCTTTCATGACGACGAGCAGGAAGTCCAATGAACTTTCTCCACAGCAGTGGTTAGTTCAGATAACAATTCTGAGCAATTCAGAATTTCGAGAAAAATGGCACTGCTGATCAAATCCCTACTGCGTCTGATCTAACAATATGTGAAAAGTAAAATAGGTGGCATGCTTCCTTGCATGACCATGCCGGCAGCGCAGTCACTGTTCTGAGATCATGAAACCTTCAGCCCTTGAAAGTCTTCAAAACTGGACTGCCCCCCCCCCCCCTCCGCTATGGTCTCAGAGAATCCATCGATGCACTCCTTGTTCTAGCTACGCAGCTCACTTCAAAATATGACACTGCCCCAACGAGGCTGACAACTAGAGGACTGCACAGCTTATTAGGTGCCCTTATGGTGTGGGTAACGGGTTGGGTTGGGTTTAGACTTTGGGAAAGTTACGGCTACTGGTACAGACATGCTCCAGACATTTACAAAATTTCGGGTATATGCTTCAGGAAATGCCACACGACGCTACTGCTTGCACGTTTGCTGTTAATAACCCCATTCACCCTAACCCAGCGAGCGCCAACACCAAATGGAAAGTCATAATGAAAATATTTCCCTAAAATCCTTCCATCATTTATAATTGAAAAACTAGAAGATCCAAACTGGTCGGTATCGGGCGGGTACGGCTGGTTAGGACTGGGTACCGTTTGGGCATCGGCACAGCCCCATGGGAAGCGAGCGGACTTGGTCAAGGCAGTGTAACCCGTGAAGGCCCCTGCTGACACCCGAAGGATACACTAGACGCGGTACTGAATCGGTTTGTTTGGTTCTGATTTCATATATACTACACTAGACGCAGTACTGAATCGGTTTGTTTAGTTCTGATTTTATATGTACTACACTTCAACACAGCAAATACAGCACATACCATTTTCTACGCCGAGACAAGTGTCTGAGGCAAATAACGGTCAGCTGAGGAGGCTTTGAAATGGTACAGATCAGGATGGCAAATCACTCCTGGGTAAGTAACATCATCACAACAGAAACGTTAGACCCAGTCGCCTCTTCCGGGCACTACTCGTCCAGTTGTGAATATGTACTTCACTCGCGCAACCAAAGCCAGTCGGCTTCGTCTGCTATCGCTATAAGACTCCCCGACTGGACACCAATGTCAGCATCGTCAGCGTACGCTGTTCTCCAGACGCGATAGCTACATCATTGACTCCAAACCAAACACTGCTGCACAATCGTACTGGCGCACGGAGCTTAACACGGACAGTCTGCGTCACGAAAATCTTGACAGCGAGCTTGTCTGAGCACTTCACCGTCTCTACCTACTACGCCAGTGCACTTGGGCAACATCATCGTTCCAATATGTCACACCGACGCGAAATCTCTCCCGCGCCTGCGAAGCATGACTGAGCCACTGCTGACTGGACCGCCGCACGAAGCTCGCCCGTCTCAGCCCCGTCCGGCCACCGCGCTCGCGGCGTCCGCCACGCGTCGACAACACCTCCGGCGCGCGGCCGGGCAGCCGGCTCGGAGGCAGAGCGCAGCAGGTCACGCCGCCGCTGCGACCCGGCGCGTGCCACTGCCGTCGCTGACGTCCCCCTGGTGAGCAGGGTGGGGGCCTCGGTCGTCCGCGTCGCCTCTGGGCGTCACGTCTCGGAGCGGGATCGTCACGTCACGTCACGTCACCGTCACGTCGCCGAGCGGGCGGGCTCAGGTGGCGATCAGCGTCTCCTGAGGTCGGCCGCCCTTGGTTCGCTTCCACTTCATGCGTCGGTTTTGGAACCACACCTTGACCTGTGGCGTGACAGAGTGAGTGGTTGGCCAGGGTCGTTACCACGTGAGGTGAGCAAGGAGTCGTGCAGTCATAGATTTGGGGGCAACGACAAATCGCATCGCAGCTCACTGAAAACCAGGGAACGGTCGTCGACTGTAACCCACTACGCTTCCGTAGAACGTGAAAACATCATCGGAAAGCCGAATGAATGTAGTATTCATCTGAGCATCTCTCAGAATCTTAGCATGTTATCTGAGGACCTTTCTGGGCATCTCCAGTTATCTGAGAGAACATTTGAATGGGATGTGCACCATGTTTGCACTTTTCAGCTCATGGTGATATCAGACGTGCCCAATTTAGTCCGGTGCCACCCGGTTTCTCGAAACCCTTTGAAAATCTCTGAGCTCCGTTTTAAAGTAGCTGATACCATGGGAGTAAATGCTATCAGATGATATTACTGACGCGCAAATTTATGGGCCCATTATAGAATTCCCGTTCCGGGCTATGAAAACAAAACTTTTCGTTTGCTTTGTCTTTTTAAACACTGGTGTGTTACGCATTGTTTGAAGTGTTCTAAGACGCCGAAATTTTTCTACAGTAAATATGAGAGTTGGAAACACTATATTTTGGGGCAAAATATATAAATATGAGGTCGCTACTACACACCTTTAGCGGAACGTAATACTATGACTTTGATTGTGGCGTTAATGGTGTTTATGGCGTAGATAGCGTCGATCACAAGGATCCTTTTCGAGGGGCATTTTGACTTTTGGAGACTTTATTACCTTGGTTGTCCAGTCTCTTAAACAGGAAAATAAACCTCGGTTTACAAAGCAGGCATCTGCCAGTGAAATATCGCGTGGTCTAATGACGCAAATATCCAAACCTATGTATATTGCGCTTCTTGCATGCGCCAAGATCGCCGATTACAAAATTTTAATTACAAAGAAAGAAGAATCCTAGCATGTTGCCGAAAGCTAGCCTTGTAATTTAAACCAGAAAATACTAGAAGTTTATTGGCTTATTGTATTTTGTTGGTGCTGCAGTGACAATCTCTAGCTTCGTAATTAGACAATACTGGTCCTGAGGCTTTACCGGAGTATTTTTCGTTCACATATGCCGCAACGGTGGCACATTCTCTTTAAACACGCAATCGCATTGCGAAAAACTTAATTGGAAAGACGGCTGCACGCTTTAACTATTTAAGCTTTGTATTCTGCGCGGTTACCGACCTGCCTCTCGGAGAGATCCAGAGCGACAGCGATCTCGTAGCGCCGGAGCCTGGTGAGGTAGTTGGAGTGGGTGAACTCCTTCTCCAGCTCCTGCAGCTGCTGGCGCGTGAAAGTGGTTCTCTCCTTCCTAGGCCGCTGCTCCCCGTCGGCGGCCTCCAGCAGGCGGCGCACTGAGCCGATGTCTGCACCTCAGGGATAGCAGGTGTCAGTGACGGCCGAACTCACCTCGCGGGGTCCGATGCAGACAACGCTTCGCAAAAGCGAAACGGCGAGAGGACGGTGCTAATTTTCACGGGAGATTTCAGCTAAAGAATCACGTAGTTTCCTGCAGGGGACGCGAAGAAGTTCTCTGAACATTCGCGCAAAATTTATAATGTTGCCGCTTCGGTGAGTCCCGCACACGTCCCGGCCACGCAGCCGTTCAGCGGCTTGCAGCGCCGGCGCGACCTGGGCCATGCCCTGCGGCTGCCTCACCGCTGTCCGGCGTCCAGAGGGTGAACTGATCGGCGCGCCGGCCGGGGTCGGGCCGCTCGGCCGCCAGCCGGTCCTCTCGGCGACCGTCGTCGGCCGACCGGTCCTGGCCGGCGCCCGGCCACAGCTGCCCGGCCAGCCACGGCTGCTGGCCGCCAGCGCGCCACGGCGCCGCCAGCTGCTGCAGCTGCTGCTGCTGCTGGCCGGCCGGCTCCAGCAGGTCCTCCAGCAGGCGGCCGCAGAGGTCGGCCATGCTCGTAGAGCGGGTCAGGTGTCGGTTCTGCAGGACGCGAGGAGGCCGTGATGTTCATCGTTAGACTCTCCCCGGTCTCACAAAGTCTGACTACGACTGCATATGGCGTAAGACGCGGGTGTGTACAGGTGCTTAGAAAATTACATCTGCTCATTTGAAGTGAACTAACCAGAGATTGCAAGATCCACTTCACCTATTTTATAATCGATGGGACTGTCTTTCCACTCATTACAAGTTTTAGAAAAAGTATGTGTCATTTTGCACTGGCTTAACAATATCGCTTTTTGGCTGTCGGATCCGTACAAATATGTTCCATGCATTTCCCGAGGGCTCTATTTCCTGGCTCAAATATTTGGATTTATTTTGAGCATTTTTCCGCCTCTCGTCTGGATTTATTTCAGAAACAGTCAGGAATGGCCTTGATATTTGGCTTTATTCACGGATATAATTCGTCCTTGAATGCACCATCCGTTCCATGGTCTTGGTTGTGGAGCCTATGTAATTCAAGATATTTGTAAAGCCACCTGGTTCAAACATAGACAGAAGAGCAATTCAATGTAAAAGGCATCAATCATTCAGCCTTCAATTATTTCCGGCGCTTGATAACGTTTGAGACAGCAGCACTCTGGCCATCGTCCGCTATCTTGTCACAGTTTCCCACCGTTGAATACCGACTGAAGCGACATGTTGTTTTACGTTGGATAAAATGCATGATAACTGTCGCATAAACACGGCAGTGCTTAGGACCGACAGCTGGCAAAATGATAACGGCCTAACAAGGCACAGGCATAGGGCAGGGCATAAGCGAAGCATAAACACGGCAGTGCTAAGAAGCGACAGCTGACAAGCTGACACCGGCCGAGCAAGATATCCCATCATGGAAAAAGCGTTTGCGAGGTTTTCGAAACAGACTGCATGGGGTATATCCATACTCTCATCCACACTTTCGTATGATGTTATGCGCCTAGATTACGTATGGGGGGCTTAAAAAACGTCATGTGGTGTGATCCTGTGAAACATCCGTGTCAGTTAAATGCTTTTAAAAATTATATCACTCAATTGGCTGGTCTGACTTCTTTCTTTCGACATTTTGACGCTGTAAAAGCTCCTCAACGTTTGCGTGCGTTAGCAAGAGCCCTATGGAATTCGAGCGCGCGAGAGTGATACTTCCATTCTGGCGGCACTGTGGGTATTCCGTAGATTTTCGACCGAAGACGGCGCGAACCATGAACATCTTTGGATGGGCTAAAAGATGCTTTTTGGAATCAGGATATTTTATCATCCTTGGAATAGACCAGTTTATAACCTTGTTTGGTTAGTCTAATGCTATTTGTCCATTAAATATATGCTCTTTGCCCTGAGGTCGTAAAGATATCTGCATTTTTGGGAAACAGAGCAGTCTTTTCATGCTTCCAGTTCTATGCAGCCCCCAAATGCGATCACAATACAGAAAGCAGCACGCACACACGTAAGGAAAGCCGACGGGTTCTGGCAGGAAGCAGAACGTCGAGTAAGTCGTCCGGGCGGTGTGTGGATGCTTCATGGATCAATATGCGGTGCTTGAAAAACTGTTCTTACTCGTTCTCTACAACAATATGGGAAGGACAAACCTTCGGTCTTATGTGGACAAAGTTAAATTCACGAAGTGATGATGACAGTATGCATAGTGTCACGAGGCATGACCAAATGCGTTTTGTAAGCATTCAAAGCTACAGACCTCGAGCGATCAAGGCTAATATTCAAGCGTGGTTTCCCGAGAACGAGCAGAATATTCATACAGCAAATTTTCAAGTCATCCAAACACAGCAAATTGAAGTATTGCCACAGTTGTGGTTCATCTGCGGCTATAACGTGCTGAAATAAGACAGTCATAACTGAAGATGCCGCTGCTCATTACTGCCTACTCGTCTCCAGTAGGGCCCACTTTTAATGGTCACGGGCAACACTTGGCGGAAGGATTTCATCATAAGTAATTTAACCAACATTGCAACAAACCAAGTAGCAAGGTAATGGTGTCGTCAGAAGTTTTCCAGGAAGTCCTTCCAAGTTAGGGCTGGGGGCTGGACGTGGGGTAGTCGATAACCATTGTTGGCTGCTCTTTTCAGTCAACGTTCGTAGGGCCAATGTTAAACTTTCGGGAAGTTCGCGGGCTTAGCTCCGCCCATTGCGCCCTCTCCCCCGGTTTCCGCGTTCCGGAGTATAGTGATGGATGATGAACAGATAACCGTCACCAACAATGCAGCTCTCAACAAACTAGCCGGTTATTTAACCAAAAAGCATCATATTCCCAAGCGTACCTTGGACATGTGCTCCATCACGGAGGGAACCGTCAACAAGCATCGCCAACCTCGCGGCATTTAGCATTGCCCTATGACTGCTGCAGGGCAATAATTCTCAAAACGCCCATTCTCCCAGCCGCTAGTCTACAGTGAAGCGCTCTGCCGAGGTCGCTTTTTGAATCGCAGCCTTCGGGCCAGCTATCATGGGAAACAATTACACCTCCAATCCCTAAAGTTCATAATTCTGTTTCGTGATGTTTCCTGCCCAGCGACAAGGCGGTCAACTGTCCAGATGGCCACCCTTGACACAAACGGTAAAACACACTTTGACACAGGACGCGTCCACCATCACGACGTGATCACGGCACCAGGTTAGGAGAATTCAAAAACCAACCGTCGTCCTGATGTAAGAAACACGCCACGAAGCTCCTGACCTGCCGTCCAAATCCGACACCACTGGCGTTTCCCATCGAGCCCGGGCCCGGCCGAGTCAGCCACCAATGGGATTTCGTGCTGACCCGGGGCTCCGCCTCTGAGTCTGCTGCCAGCCAATGGGCAATGGCTTGGCGGTGATCGTGAAGCGAGCCCATCAATCAGTGCGTAATGACGAGCAGTGACAGGTTGACAGACAGGCGCCCTGGACCCGCTACCTTTTCGCCAACTGGGGATGCACTTATGCAGACGGGATGCACTTATGCAGACTTATCCTTCCCAGGCATGCGTACTCTTGCTTACTTATACGCATTTTATGCGTACAAATGCGTACATTATGAGCATCTATCCACATTCTCACATCTAGGAGCGTCACTTGATATACCTTCGGAACCCCAATCCAGCCCCATTTTTCAAAGCATCAGCCAATGTACCGTATATAATTCGTGCGGCCAGTGCAAGCTTGTGCGACGCACGGTTGCGCCAGGAATGCCGTCACCTGATGACACGACTGGTAACGGTGAGCACAAACCATTTTGCCTTTCTCTGCGTAGGTGAGCCGTGCCCACAAGAGGCAGTAGACAGTCGCTTTATCACTTTTCCAGGCTTCAAGGCAATGAGAAGAGACTGTCCGTGCGTGCCCGCGAAGGGGAGGAGGTGTTGCCACCATATACTACGAGCCTTTGCGAGCGGAGCAGCAAGCTGTCCCATCGAGCGTTTTTTTCTTATGATCCTATGAGTTTGGTGACCGTGTGTTGTGACGTCACACTCAGCATCGGGAACGCCAACCGACGCCGGATGGCACCATCTCATCTGTCCTGAACGATCTACGTGACCAGCTGATCCGGGCAGTTGGAACCTGAAATCGCCGTTTGTTTCAGACGATACGAATTTTGACCTGCTAAGGTCGATGAAACTGGTGCCCAACGACATAGGCAGGTTTTGGATTGCTGAAAGGGAGCACTCCGTATTTGTATGGGGCTTGAACTGAGATAGCTATCTTGAGGACCATTCGGTGCAATTCATAGCCTTGCCCTTCTCAAGACCTAGACCCCACTGGTTTCTGAGCTACGCGCCCGCAGAGATGTGCATATTATTTTGTGCAAACTATTTAAGCCACTCAGGCATCTAAGATGCCATGAAAACGTTACTCAAGTTCTGCCATTCCATTGGCATTCTGCGATCAAGGGCAAGAACAATATGACTGTCGATTCGCTCATATCTGGCGTTTGTGAGCACGATTTCCAGGTATTTCGGCGTCAATTGGCTCTCAGTCGATGTTGCGCAAGGTACGATGACACAATCAAACAGTGATGTATAGAGGAGAATGTTTACTAAATAGAGCAATTGCGCTGTTAAGAGCAGTCTTTTCCATTTAAGAGCATACCAGTGGCTATAAGTGAGCTTATGTCATCATATCTGATGTGTGCTTGAATGTCTTCGAATGTAAAACATTTGATTCACAAGTTAACATTTACATTTTTAAAACTGAAATATATTTTTTGAAGATTATTCGACGCAGTTCACAGTCCTGCCCTACTTATGACTTAAACCCTCCATTTTCCGAGCCACGTGCCTGCGAAGACGTTCAGACTAATTCCAGACTATTTCAAAGGCCATTCAGGAATGTATGACCCCGTAATAACGTTATTTAAATCCTGTCATTCTATTGGCCATGCTGCGATCAAGGCTAGGAAAAGCATTTTGCCGAGCCGTTCATATCTGGCGTTCGTGAGCATGATTTCCAGATACAGCGGCCGCCAATTGACTCTCAATTAATGCTGCGCCAGCTGTGCAAGTTTAAATCACGATTGGTTGTTTGGTTGTTTGGATTAGAGCCAGAAATGATCATTCCAGGGTTTCGGATGAAGAAGAATGGATAACGGTGGGGCAGGAGAGCATGTACCTGGAGCCCAACCGCCGAGCTTTAGCTCGTGCAGGAACCCCGGTGCGGGGTATGCGCTGGGCGCTCGGTCAGGGTCCCAATGGGCATCTCGGCCCACTCGTGGCTGACGCATGCAACCTGCCCCGGACAAGCGGGGCGTCGCGGTGTTGCAGAATTAAGGAAGAGAGAAGATTATAGGGTCGGGTGTTAAATCATGCCTTTAATATATTTGATTTGATTCGGTTTGGCCCGTTCAGATCATGTCACGCCTTTGAGAGGACTATTTCAAACAAAACTTAAAATCACGAACCACGAGTCACAAATCACAGCTCAAGTTTTGTGCCACATAACATAAGATGCAGAGCGTAATTGGTAGTAATTACGAAAATAAGACTTGTAGTCGAATGAGTTAGGACTAGTGCCATAAATTAGCTTGTAATTACACGCCAATATATCAAACTGATGAATAAATAGGAAAGAACACCACGTGAAGCGGCCAAAACACGATCACAAAGCATTTAAATACTTCCTCCACAGCACTGTCCTTTGTCGGCGAGTTTGGCGTGCTACGAGTGAGTGCTAGGGCGGCAATTTCGCACGGCTGGTTTGGCAGCACCTCAAGGCCATTCAAACTTTCCATGATGCAAGCAAGCGATGACGTATTGAGGAGCATATTCACTAAATAGAGAATATTGGTGGTCTAGAGCAGTCTTTTCTATTTAAAAGTATACCAGTCCTTATAAGTGAGCTTTTTCATGAAATCTGATGCTTGCTTTAACATGCGCCCCGTTGACCTGTCGAGTACCCTTCGCTCGGATGGGGGTCAGTTTTACCCCCTGAAATCTCAGATACTAAGAGAGATAGAGCCACTCAATTCGCAAGGTGTACTGGCCTGTACGTAAACGCGCTTATGCCAAAATTTGGGGTTCCTAGGTCATGACCTTCGGATCAAATTAAATCAGAGAAGGCTAAACTCCAGATTGGTGTCCCAAGTGCTCAATAACATAGATACTGTTCTAAGTCAAAGATCACTGGTGCTCATTTAGGTCGGTGACCTCAGTGGGCCGATCCCTGAAGCGACAGGTCTTCTGACCTGGGCAGCTGACACAGGATCGACACAGGGACACGTCACTTACGCAAAAGATCCCTTACCGGCACAAGCAGTTTAATGCCTTATTGGCACCGAGACAGCAGTTCGGCTTACCGGCCCCTGCCTCCTAGTTGAAACGGTGCCGGGGGCCTCTCGTTCGGTACGGCGACTGGCTGGAACAGTTCACTGTCTTATTGTGAGTGCAAATCACTGCATCAGCACTTCTCATGTCTCCTGTCATTGTCAAGAGAGTCCTGAACAACTCCCAACAATTGCAAGAGACATTTGGACATTCGAGGTCCCACTCCTGTCCCTGTTCAACAAGTGTGCCCATGGCCGACTTTGGGCTTGTTGCCGACACGGGACCCCTTGTCGGACACTGTGAACCCCTGATCAGCGCAGGGGCCCGACCAATGCACGATCTTTCCAACTAACATCTGCGGGCCCGGCCCTGCCCCGATTTGAGAAAAAACTCCCGGGCGAAGACAGTGTTCAGCGATCTAGTGTTCATTACTGCCTACCGGCTGAGGTCCCTTCATCTCCAGTCTGCCCTTTGCACCCTTCGATCGGACCCTTGATCGTCGTTCCTGCGGGGCCCAAAGGGCTCCTCGGAGCCCTCGATGCCTGAATGCCTTAGGTAGGCTGCATGCTCTTGTCATGCTGACAGAGGTGCTCATGGTTCTTTGTGAAAATAAAACATGGGGCGATTTTTGCTGTCCTATTGAGTTTGACGCTGCTTAAAATGAGAGGATTCGGATACATTCGTAGTGCCTCCCTAGAAGAGGTTGTTCCTTCAAAATGCAGGTCTTGATGCCCGAAATAAAGGCACCGGGTATCTCTTCAACGAGAATTCTGACTTAGTATTAGGTGAGAGTGGAATACACAAAAGTTTTGTTGTCCTGATTTTTGGTGCCCTTTGAAAATAAAGAGGTCGGGGATCCTATAAATTCAGTTAAACGTAAAGGTTACGGTGCCCCAAAACAAAAGTTTTGGTAACCCATCACCGAATAGGCCGATCATGGCTTTCTCCCATAGGTGGGCACGAACAATGAGGTGCCCCTGAAATTTATTGTCTCTTAAAGAGAAACGTTTTGGTATCAAGCGTGCTGTCCCCTGGAACTGGTTGCTACCTTAAATAATGTTTATAATGCCCCACAATGAGAGTGGTATCTCTTTCGCGGAAGAGGTCGTTGCAGAATTTGGTCAGGACAGAAAAGAAAGAAATCGTGGCACCCCTTAAAATGAAGGTTTCGGGACGCTTCGAACGGCCCGCCTGGACTTGTTGTCTATAGTGAGTAAATATTTTGGTGCCGTGAAATAAAGATTTTATTCTACCTTCGCCGAATGGACCGATCCATGAGTTCGTCAATGGAGCGCCAAGGTATTACAATGTACCCTGACTGTTGTCATCTAAAATGCAAAGGTCTTCGGAAACTTTGAGATACCCCTTGAATTAAACATCTCTCGAAAATGCAGGTTATGGCTCCCAAAATGAAAAATTGCTGCCATTTTGCCGAACGTCAAGGAACGGGCCAATCACGAATTTCGTTGCATGGAAACACCCGGAAACACATCCTGAAAATCAAAGTCATGGCGCCTCGAAATAAAGGTTTTGGTGCATCTCACCTAAGGCACTGTTCCAGGATTTTGTTCAGGGTAGGAGGCACAACATCGTTGCGCCTCTTAAAAACGAAAGCTTGCCACCGTTCGGGGTGCTTTCTGGAGTTGGGCCCATCTTGGAAATAAAGGCTGTGTCATGGGGTTAATGATTTTATGCTCCTTTGCCGAATGAGCCGAGCCAGGATTTTGTCAAACCGACAAGGCACAGATGTTGTAGTGCTCCTAGAATTCGGTGACTCCCGGAATACAAATTTTGGACCCTGCAGTGTTCCTCTAATTTGATTCCTCTTGGAAATGAAGGCTATTTGGCTTTAAAATAAAGGTGTTGATATTCCTTCACCACGAGGTTTTGGTGCCACGAACGGGCATCAAAACCTCATGAGTGGTCCAAGGTGGTGGGTGGCATTGCCCATGTCTTCCCCTTTCCACCCTCAGGATACACCTCTGTCTGTATGTTTCGAATACAGACAGAATAAGACTATCAAATTAAGACAGTCCTGGGGCATCGCCATCACGCAATTCAATAAAGTATCTTCTTTAGCCCCCGTGGCTCGCACTTCCAGGAGGAGCCCAACAGCCTTAATAGGCTGTTGGGCCTTACAGCCTTAATAGGCTGTAATCACCGCCTCCCTGCAGCCTTCTGGAGAGACCTCGAAGCGACACTTTTTGTGCAACCGTGCGATGTTCACCAAGACAGGCAGGTGCTGTGGCCACATAGTGGCTGTTCTTTTCTGCAGCAAATGATCCGTCTTTGAGCCCAAACAGGATGCGGTATACTATGAAGAATCATTACTAAAATGTAAACGTCCATCTGCTGTCCCGTGCTCGTCCTCAAGAGATGAGCTCTTGATAATAATCTTGACGGTGATGACCAGCTCGAAATATTGAGCATCGTCAAAATACTCATTGCTAAGCACTACAACGCCGCTTAACCAGTACCTCCTGGGATATTGGAAGTCGTTAACCTAACACAAAAACTTGGAGTTCATAATACCGAAAAAAACAGGACCTAAATAACTCTCGGTCTTATATCACATCCAAATTATGACCGCAGAGAAACGTGGACGAAATTCCTGAAGATACGTGTTCTGGATGTAGGATAGACATAATTTATGGGTTCGTCCTCCCCCCTTCCCCAACAAAAGCTCACAGTTCCACTCCTGTATGGAGAGCTCCTCATTCTGCCATGGGTCCCCTGACTGACACATGGCTTTGCATTGTCCTCATTGTAGACTCTCATCGTAAATCAACACATCCTTTTGCATTGTCAGAGGGCCCGACCAACGCAAGAGGTCCTATAGCATTCGGGGTCCAGTCTATGTCCCTTTTCCGCAAATGTTACCCCGACCGACTCGGGGTCCCTTGCCGATACAGAACCTTCTGTTAGGCACTGTGGGCGCGCTGGCCGACACAGGGGCCTCAATTGTTTCATGAGTCCCGACCAAGGCATGCCGTGGGCCCCGGGCTTTTCCCTGTTTGGGAGATAGGCTCTCACGTCTGAGACCGACACGGAACCGACTGTTCGGTGTTCATGGCCTCTGACCATAATAGAGGTCCACATAGTCCCAGGGTGTTCCCAATCGGTGCAAGAGGCTCTCTAACTGTCATTTGATGGCTTGGCCCTGCGGGCCGATATCCACAGTCGGCCCTTCGTACCCTCCAATTAAGGACTTGATCATCGGGCCCAAAGGGTCCTTCAGTCATATCTCAGGGTCCTCTCAACACACCCCCAGGCCGACTCTGGGCTTCTTGTCACACAGGACCCTTGTTAGGCACTGTGATCCCCAGACGGACACAGGGATCCCTCATTGTCTTACGGGCCCCGGCCGATGTAGATCGTGGGCCCGCTTGGGAAATGAGTCTGAGTCCCAGACCTGACGCTGGAGCCATCTGGTGGCGAGTCCGTCACGTGTCGCGGTCGCCGAGCCTTCATCACAGGGGTGTAGTTTCGTAAAATAGATTAGAGGAGTGAGCGTGGAAAACGTAACTTAACTTGGTGTTGTGTATTAAAAAGTGCATTAATACACTACAAAACAGGTTCCCTCCTGGATTTGACACAGTTTTCTCTCAACGTAGTGGAGTTGGATTCTCACTCAGATGGACAGGAAACTAGCCCTGCACTGATACGTTTCCTCGCTCTGTCTCGGTGCGAGATGTTATCATTGACCATCAATGCCATTTTGTTTGACGTCGATCGTCGAAATCAGGCTTCGGTTATCGACGCGCGGTCGATGTTTTGTGGCTTCAAGCGTTGTCGGACGTGCACGGCTTCGTGAGTGAAGAGTGTAAGTTGATGTGCGCGCCTATTAAAGCCTGCCACGGAGACCAGCGGCTGGTAACCGCAAGGCACGCTGCAGCCTGCAACGCAGCACCCACGTTAGGCATGCTCAACATGGCTGGTGCTGATTCGGTGGGCCTCGTCGGATGACTGCCGTTATCGGCTTGGTGGGCTGGTGTCGGTCGTGAGGTTCCTGTGTGTCCGCCGTAACTATTCCATCAAATATTCACGTCGAATTGGAGGTGGTGGGCAAGTTTCAAGGGTTCTTTCCTGCGTAGCCGGTTAATAACTTGGTCGCGTGATTGGGTGCTAACATTTCAGCGGTTTACGGGCATTGTCTGATGAGATGTCTCATCGTATCGTGGCAAAATCACGCAATTTATTGCAGTCTGGAGATCTTTAAACATCACTGAATGATGCCAAAGCTTCAGACAATGGCAAAAAAACTGGACCAGAGGAAACAATACATATTTATCGTGTAATTCAAAGCATGCATCGTTCAGGAAGGAAAGCAAAAGATACTGAAGTGAACATGGTACGAACACCTAACTTCGAAATTGTGACTAGCTAAGTCAGCTGCATTCAACTGTGCATGACATTGCACTTTTACCTGTGATACATTGAGTAGAAGCCTTCTTCAATAGTTAAATCATCCTGATCTACCATTTTTAATGTCCTGCTTGTACTTTGACTATAGAAGGTGGGATGGGAGGGGGGGGGGCAGACTCACCGCCGGGGGGGACAAATTAAATATTAGGGGGCGGTAGCCCACCAATAGCCCACAGAATACAAATCACAGTGCCCGAGACCTCTGTGAAGGGCCCCTGAGCAGCCGAGCAGTACCTCAACAGGTTAACATACGGGACTACCGGCTATGGAGAATAAATTGGTTTGGGCAAATGGGAAAAATCCGTGGACTGACCCCCGACCGACATAGGAAGCCCGGTATGCTGGCAGACAGGACCTCGACAACAGCGTAGGGCCTTCAGAGAAAATGCGAAGGCATCGAGGGCAACGTGGAAGGCTACTGAGCGATTGGACTGCCCATGAAAGCGGACATATAGGTCCCCCAGCGACAGCGTAGGACCTCTAACAGCGTAATGAGCCTCAGAATCTTTCCAATCACCGCCCTCTTAAGCAGCGGACAATCCTTTGTGTCCGCCCACGGATTCTTCACTTTGGATTATGACTGCTCTTGGTTGCCTGGAGCCCAAAAACGTCCGATTTTTTGTGTGCTTGTATATTTTATGTTAGAGAACTGCGTTTGCTCGGCCGGCTGTGAGCTCCTTAGGAGCCTGTTGTATGAATCTAAACCTTCTTTGAGCCTCCTGAGCCTATATGGGCGCATTCGGGGATCAGGGGGACATGGCCCTGTGCCCCCCCCGCCCTCCTGACTGACCACTTCCTCAAGGCTTTATGGCATTAGCTGCATGTAAGGGTCCTCAAGCAACTGCAGTGTCCCTTTAAGTCGGGAAGGGCCCGCTGAACAGTCAGATGGGGCTAACCTGTGCTAAGCGGTATGGTCGGTGGCGCTCGAACGAGCTTTGTGAGCCATATATATCCTCACCCCTGGATGAAGGGTGAGGTGGGGGATGGGGAGCGGACCAGTGCATTTTGGAAGTTCAAAACGCCTTTAGGGCTTCTGCTTCTAAGGCATTAAAAACAGACCCCCAAGATGAAATCGTAAGTCTATCATAAGACCCTCGAATAAAGAGAGGGTCCCTGTGTTTATAAAATGACCCCTTTCGTTGAAAGGAATCCCTGCGCCCGATTTGGGCTTATTGTGGCTGCGCCACTGACTTAAGTTCTGCCCGAACATATGAACGTATACATCTGGGACCCGCCCCTAAAAGGGTGTTTCCTTTTCTGCATGTGTTGAAGTAACACTTGTGTTTTAGTAGCTTTGAGAATTAATCATCCGTACGTCGACGAGCGTGGCGCGCATTATTGGTGTTTTGGTGTTGCGTTTTATATATGGGGAGTGTATTTATATTCACTTGATGTTCGGATCGAAGCCTGGTCTGCGCTGGTGAGTGAAAATTATGTAATTGTTCAAGAAAGTGTGTTGGGAATAATTTGTGCGCACGGACGCATCGACGAAACCTTACATGTTCACACGGTTGACCCGTCTGGCAGAGGGGCGGATTAAAAGTGAGAGCCAGAGTCGGACGTTTGGATGTATTTAACCTATTGCAATGGATATTGCCTACAGTTTGATCCATCAAATCGCGTAGACTGCTATGTTTTTTAATTATACTACCTGCAGTGGACGAGTGGAACTAAGGCCAAGGAAGACCGTAATCTCTGTGACTGACTGGGCTACCTGCAAGCCATCTGTGGTTGTGCTGTGAGATTTACTGTCAGTCTTAAGTTTTTCCACTGAATATATGTAAATGTGGAGTACACAAAATTGTTGACTGTTTTTTTCTGTGTGTGCCATCAATTGATCAGGCTCAATTTCTTATGACAAAGTCAAGGTTTCTGACATATATCATGCACAGGTTTGAGGCACCTGTCAAGTATGATTGTGATTTAAAGGTTAAGTATTCTGCCAGTTTCATGCTCATCAGTTTTATATTTTTTAAGATATAGATTTGGTTTTGAAACCTCATTTCTAGGTACTGAACCACTGCAATGTATATGTGCTATCTCAAATGTGATTTGAACCACATTTTGTGTACTTACCCTCTAGCAGCAGATTGTTGTTTCTAGACTCATCTTGACTTACCAGCTGCCATGAATACCTGGCACTTTCTGAATGTTGTGTTCCAGTCTGTATATCATTGCCCTGCTTTGGGGCTGGACATTTGAGTGGAAAAAATGTGATGTGTGTCATGAAGTGCTAATTGGGTACTAAGCCATGACATGTGTGGCTGTGAAAATGAGTGATGTGTGGATGGCAAGGTGATGGCGGTGGAATGGTATGACACTTGCTTTACAATAAGATTTTGTTATGAATGCATTTTGTCATGGCTATGGCCTTCAATCTTGATGCCTGGAAATATTATGATTTCTAAGCATAAAAGGGCATCAAAGGGATGACAATGCTATAAACAATATTTGTATAACATTGATAGACAAAGAGTAAACAAAAGTATAGCATGTCATACAAATAAAGTTGTTGAGGTATCAGTGCAGATAAAAAGCAAAGTTTTCTCTGAAGTCAATAATATAAGTTCATCAAAGATATATTACAATTTTCATTACAAATTAGTTATGTTCCAGGGAACATGAGCCTGCCTCAACCTGTAATGCAGTTATAATTAAAGATGTGTGTATGGTTCAGGCCATACCATTGGGCTATTGTGACACCACTGGTATGTCTGGTATGGATCCAGGAATTGTTATGGGTGAAATGGGTGATTAAAAAAATTATATATATATATATATATATACAATATTGAAAATTATCTCTTCTTGCAATATTGTTTATTCATTTAATAAATAATATTGCAAATGGTTTCTTCCAATTTGACCTCAAGTTTTTGCCCGAAAACTCCAGCAGCCCATGAACTACCCAGCGAAACTGTCTGTTGTGTTTTCTGCAAGAGGGTCAATGGATGTAAAACAGTTTTCATATGTGCAAAAAGGTTGTAAATTATGAAAGAATTATAATGACAGTTAAGCAGAGTTGGTAATAGAAATGGGTGATGTTCTTCTGCCGAGATTGTATTGATGCCCTAGACCTGGAGAATATTGGGCTTGTGATGTGGCAGAGCATTCATACATTGTTTTGGTTTTGTATTTTTTTGTCATCAAGTAGCATAGTGTTATGAATTCAGGGAATGTGGAACACTTAATTGCTTCTAAATTTTGGGGTGAGTAGAAAAATGTCCTGATGTGGTCAAATTATCCTATGTTGCACTGGCTCATGGTGTTGAAGTTGCTGCCTGTTTAAACTACTCTGATTTTGCCTGATCACTGATCATAATCACTTGGAGCATTATGCTCAATCCAAATTGTTCAACAAACACTTAGTGATCTGCATAGGGATGCCATGAGGATATTAACCTCTATATGAATCACTCTGGTTTACCCAGGTGTCAGGAACACCCCCACCATTTGCAATTTTGGCTCCTAGCCTGAAGTTGCTTTCTTCATAGTAACATTCTCACCCCATTCCCATGAGCAGCTTGCATCTGAAATCATGCTTATGATGCCAGGACCATGCTAATAATGCTAACCCTGCTGAGACCCCTCACACATTCCTGCCCTGGCCCTAATTCTGTCCCTTGACCCTGCTGTCACATCACCTATGTCACCCTTGCCTTTAGGCCTCCTTTTTGTTCTCTTTAGCTGTTACATGGTTATAATCTAATGTGTTACAAAATCATTAACTGTGAAACCATTGACTGTTATGATCTAAACCTTCCCATAATGTAAACCCATGACTGAACCAAACAAAAATGCACCCCTTTTTTCATTTTGCCTCCCGTGTCCAGTTTTTTCATGTAACCCTATCAAGGCATTCTCATGGATGGAGCCCATGCTTCCTGCATTCAGACTCTCTATCTCTTGCTTACTTACAACTGCAGGTGAGCTTCTTGTATGCCTGCAGTATCCTTCCTTACTGCTGTGTATTTGCCTTACTGGTAAGTATAAAAAGAAAGCTGTGCTGGTTGGGTTGCATTCTAGGATGCAGCCTACACCCATGATAGGTAGTCATATCTACCATATGCCTATGGTGAGTAGTCATACAGTCCTGTAGGATAATGTTGCATGTTTTTGTATGTGACCTTATTGTTATACAGTCATAGATCACATTGTAATGTTGAGTGATTGTTGGATAGAGACCATCATGTTACTCAGTATGGTACTGTGATGTGAGACTTCATCACTTTGTGTGAAAAAAGCTCAGTAAAACGCGAAATTTTTTCCAAATTGATATGTGTATGACTGCTAGGATTAAAGCTTTGATGATTGTGATCAGATGGGAGACTGGATGTATGTGGATATTGCACTAATCCCACCAGCAATAAAAGTGATAAGTTTTTGATAACAGGACACCAACCTTGTGTGTGATGTGAAGCCTGGTTTCATTGTGCAATAACTACAAGCATTAGCCAGAGCCATAATCATATTATTGGTAACAATCATATAAAACCATATAATTTATGCTGTCATGCAGCAGTGGACTAGAAACATGTGTTTGAAAGGAATAGTCATTGTGTGCAGGTGTCTACTTTTCTGCAACATAAGCAGATATTTTACCATATCTTTAAGATTTATTAGAGCTTTTCCAATTGCATTCATTTCTGGGAGCGCAGCCCAAACAAAGAAGTGCCTGGTGCGTGAGCCCGACCCCACCATCTTGTCATGACATTCCAGGTCAATGGCGGAATTGGCCACGGCCATGGGCGAAATGACCAGGCCAATGCTGATCCCAGCATATTTTCCGTCAAAGTCCGCGGTATTAACAAATACGATGAACGCATGGCCGTCTACCCAGTATGGTGCGGCTTAAGCCTGATCTTAGTTGCACCAGATTGGACGCTATTTTAGGCTCCCCATCTGCTCTGCAATGCTCTATGTACTATTCCCGCTCTCCATGTCACGTTGTTGCAAGTCAACAACACAGGTCCTTCGTGAGTGCAAAGCATAACAGCTGCATGCATATATCGTGCTACTTGCCGCTGCAATTTCGAAATGTCCAGGATGTGCTGTTCCGGTCCGATGATGCAAGCTCAACAAGAGCGTTCCACGGTCGGGTTGTTTCGGCCCTACCGCACACCCGATATGTCCAAAGTGGGGGAAATCGAAATGGATGACTCAGCCCGCGCTGAATGTGGCAGGATTGCCGAGTGTCACGAATCCATCGCAGAGGCGCAAAAGCCAATAATCTCACGCTGGGCCTAGTCTGGTACCGCCAGTCATGGCTATGTGATGGCAATTGCCTGTTAAAGACGTTTGAACCGGAGGGGTCTGCAGCGGCCGTAGCTTACGTAATGTGAAGCAGGGATAACGGAACAGCCGAGCCCCATCTCAGTCCGAGTCCGGCCATGCGGTGAGCTCGGCTGCCGGTGACAGTGGTGCGCGTTTCAGATCCCTTGATGGCGGAGCAGAATGGCTCGGCCGAGCCGCCGCCGCCGCCGTCGGACGGCGCCATGGGTGACGCGGCGGCCCGCGACGGCCGGCTCCAGCCCGGCAAGGTGCCGCCGCTCGATGTGAGTCTGCCCCGGCCGGCCGGACCGGCGCCGGGCTGCGGTGGGCCCGGCCGCCGGCTCCGCAGATTACCGACCCGCACTGGGCATTTCCCGGCTGCAGATCGGATCGTGCAGGCGGCGTGCACTGTCGTCTGTGTCCTTGTGCTTAGCAGCGCAGTTGTTTACATGAGTCAGTCCTTGGCGAATTAATACCTGCCGGATGCATGTGTGCTGCCTGACCTGCCACAATACCTTTACGTGCAGGCGACCCGTCTCGCCCTGCCTGTATGCAGGGGATGCAGTCCACAGTCCCATGGTGTATGCCAATGTGGCTCAGGTTATACGAGCAAGGGTTGTGTCATGCCGATAACCACGGGCCGATGCTAACCGTATGAGGGTCAGATAGTTGACTCTTGTGCTTTGTGCAGCTACACAGATGGCTGTGCTTGCCATGTTGCTATTGGGCTGTGATGCACACTACCATGATCAGCTCACCATCCTCTGTATGAATTGCTTGGACACTCCTGTCGTCCATGTGGAAATATATCCTGTTGGCCATTGCTGCGTGTTGGTATTGCACGTTTTCCCAGTTTGCAGAATATCGCGTCGCTGCCACCGAACCCCCCCAGACGACCATCTCGTCTGACCAGACAACCCCGATGACCGTTCAGTGAGACCAACGAGCAGCTAACCTCAGGTGCCCGTCAGTGCGCTGGCGTCCCCACTGAGCCTCATCCGCGTCTCCCCAGATCACGGCGGCCCAGGGCGCGGCGCAGATGGCGGTGGCCGTGGCGCTGTCGGCTTCGGCGCCCGACCCGGACGGCCCGCCCAGCCCCGGCTCGCCCTCCGACGGCCGCCGACAGTCGGCCCGCGGCGCGCGGCGCGACAAACAGAAGCTCGGTCACCGGCGCGTCCGCGAGGGCGAGGTCACATACAAAAAGGTGCGCACGCCACCGAGACCGCTTGAGAGGAGAGGCAGTCTCGCCTCGCCGGCCGCCAGGGCCGGTGATGGGTGTTGTTGACCCGGCTGCGGCCGCTCTGTCGTCTCACTCACCCGCTGTTGCCGCGGTGCGCCCAAACTGCTCACACGCGGGCCCGCCGCGAAGGCTCGAGCACAGACCGCACAGTCGCCGGTGCAGCGCTACGTGGAGCCGCGTCCCCAGCAGTTGGGGCGACAATGACACTGGCTCCGACCATTTCCAGATCCAAACGACCACAATCATGGGTGCTATCCAGCTGGGCATCTCGTACGCGCTGGGGTCGGAGGCGTCACGCACCACGCGGGACGTGCTGCTCAGCGACTTCTACACGATAGAGACGATTGCGTTCCCCAATCAGGGCGGCACTCACACGCCCGCCCATCACTTCGTCGACTTCCGCTTCAAGATCTACGCCACCATCGGCTTCAAGTACTTCCGGACGCTGTTCGGCATCCGGCCGGACGACTTCCTGGTCAGTGTCGTTTCCGAGGGCGGTCAGAGGCGCCCGAAGGTGGCGGCGCGGACACGGCGACGCTTCTGACTCACTCGTGGTGTGGCTGGAACGCTCTGGCTAAGGGAGGAGACCGAGGGGTCACCCTGCTCGCGCTCAAAGCTTCAGATAGGGGACGCCTTTGCCATGTTTAGGGCTGGACGAGTGCTGGTGTGTGACGACGTGGCTGTTGACCGCGGCGATACGCCGCCACCTTTTTGTGTTGAAATAAAGGAAGACTTTAAGTCCCAGCTTCTCGCGGTCGCGCATAGAGCTGTTTGGAAATGACACCAATTTTGCTGCAATGGTCATGCTGATGTTCAGCTTTCAAGTCACCCTTACGTACCGCATATTTTCCTGAGCTCTTTGCGTCCGTAATTGTCCTGTTGCGGTTTGACCTCTGGCGGGCATGCCTTTCAACGCCCAATAGAACTGACCGGCCCATCGAGCCACGGGCCACAGACACATCTGCGGAGAGACAGCGCGACGCTGACGACCGTCATGCGGCGCCCCTGCGCTGACCGCCCTCTGGCGCACCTGTTGCAGCTGTCGATGTGCAACGAGCCTCTGCGGGAGCTGACGAACGCAGGCGCGTCCGGCAGCATCTTCTACCTGACGCAGGACGACGAATTCATCGTCAAGACGGTGCAGCACAAGGAGGGCGAGCTGCTGCTCAAGCTGCTGCCTGCCTACTTCATGGTCAGTGCAGGCCGGCAGGGCTCGGCCTCCTCAGCTTCCGGGGCTGGGAGCTGGTCTATGGATTTGCAGCGGGGTAGCGCGTACCTTGTAACAAGTCTTCGCAAACAAATTTGAGTGGTGCATTGCTTTATGTACCCTCGTGAAAAGACGGATGAGCTGGTACACCACGTGTATTTCTTTTGTGTGGAAATGTCGCCCGCAAGCAGTCAGCCCGCCGCCCGTGTCTACTTAAAATTGTGCATACATGCCCCCGCACTACTCGGACGCGCTCCTACGAGGACCTGCCCGCTAACATGTGTAGCACGCCGCGGTTCAGTTGCCAGTCGTTGTTGCGCCATCTTGATTAATTATTCGACATGTCACCCGTGATTGTCGGCAGAATCTGAACCAAAACCCGCGAACGCTGCTGCCCAAGTTCTTCGGCCTGTACTGCTATCAGTGCAACTCCAAGAACATCCGGCTCGTGGTGATGAATAACCTGCTGCCATCTTCGATCAAAATACACCAGCGCTACGACCTGAAAGGGTCCACGTATAAACGGAAGGTGAGCGTGTTGGCCAATGACTGAAGTGATCGGGTGTACGGAGGGCTGCTTGCGCACCTCCTGTCCTCCGGGAGAGCGCTGATTGGCCGACGCCTGCGTCTGATGTGGCCTGTCTCCGCACGCCAGGCCAGCAAACAGGAGCGCAGTAAGCGGTCGCCGACCTACAAGGACCTGGACTTCATGGAGCACCACCCCGAGGGTCTGATGCTGGAGGCGTCCACCTATAATGCGCTCATGCAGACCATTCAGAACGACGTGCGGGTAAGCAGAGCCCCGCGGCGCGCCGGCCGATCGCCCGCGCTGTGGCTGACACGGGGTCGGTGCGAGTGCGGACCGCCGGCACGTGGCGCCAGTTACGCAGAGGACGGGTGCCGCGCTGCCGGCCTGTACGAAGCATGCGGAGATATCGGCCGCGTGGGCGTACGGGACGGGCCCTGTGATGGTGGTCGGACGGCGCAAGTCGTGCACGCCCGACTGAATTGGCTTGCGTTTCGCAGGTCCTGGAAAGCTTCCAGATTATGGACTACAGTCTCCTAGTGGGCGTCCATAACCTGGACATCGCTGCCAAAGAAAAGGCCGTAAGTGGCAGCTGGCGTGGGTTGTGGCGCTGGCACTATGCGTCCGCGTAGGACACACCGGACGCTTGTTAACTCCTAGGGCGGGCATGCTTGTTTTTTATCTTTTCTCTCATGCTGTCTGAGGGCAAGTTGTTCTTCCATGGAATACACAGGCGCGAAAAACAATTCTTGCATGAGAGATCGCCCAGTCACGCAATGCTCCCTTACGTGTGGTTGTGCCCATGTCGTGGCCATGTGGTCGCGCCCGTGTGGTCGTGTCCATGTGGTCGTGCTCATGTGGTCGCGCCCGTGTGGTCGTGCTCGTGTGGTCGTGCCCGTATGGTTGTAAAAGCAGTTTTGTTCTGTGCCGGGCGACCTCGAGGCCGCGTTCCCCATTGGCAAAGTGCCCGAGTTCGTACCTGAGACGTAGCAATTGCACACGGCATACACAAGCGACGATCCGCCAAGCCGTACGAACTGTTGTGGCGCTCTTACCTGTGACGTCATGGGCTGCGGTCTGCGGATGACGTTTAGCAATGGGGAGCGCGGTCGCGGTGCTGCGACGTCGCCCACGTGACCGGTGTCGGTGACCCTGACGACGGCCGCCAGGAGGCGGAGGCCGAGCCGGAGACGGATGGCGCCGGTCTGAGCCGCTCGCGCAGCATTAACCGGCACCGGCTGGTGGCGCACAGCACCGCCATGGAGAGTATCCAGGCCGAGTCGGAGCCCATCGACGACGAGCAGGACGTGCCGTGAGTGGTGCCCGGCCCGGCGGGGGGAGAAGGGGGTGGGGCTAATGGTGCTCAGTATGGGCGGGGTATCTGATCTGCCGCCATTTGCGGTATTTGGGGAACACGCGGGGAGCGCGCCTTACTGACTGTGAACTGGCCGATGTGTGATGTGACGTTGCTCATGTGAGCTGGCCGGTGTTGCGGGGCGTGACCGACGTGTTCCCGGCCGCAGACCGGGGGGCATTCCGGCACGGAACTCACGCGGCGAGCGCGTGCTGCTCTTCCTCGGCATCATCGACATCCTGCAGTCGTACCGCGTCAAGAAGCGGCTAGAGCACACGCTCAAGTCGATGGTGCACGACGGCAACACCATCTCCGTGCACCGGCCCGACTTCTACGCGCGCCGCTTCTTCGACTTCATGGCGAAGACGGTGTTCCAGAAGATTCCGTCGCGTGAGTGCGGCGCGCGCGCCTCCCGCCTCGGTGGCTTGTCGTACCGTACCGCACCGCAGCGCCGCTTCCCGCACCGACCCCGGCTACCCTCTGGTCTGCTGCTGTAGCTGCAGGTCTTCACTGTCTCTGTTCTCTGCCGCCGGGAGCGGGCTCGAGGGCCGGCGCCGTGCCGCACCGGGGCGGCCAGTCAGTCGCGGGCGCCGGCGCCCTCTCTTGGTTGTTTGCCGATGCTCAGTGTGTCTGTGCCGACGACAGGTGCCGGTCGTGCGCGGCCAGTCGAGTGTACTCATATCTTCCTTCTGAGTGGTCTGTGTGGCTTTGTTAGCCTGTAGTCGGTCGGCTGTGGCCGCCGTGGCCCGGCGCGCACTAACACGTGTTTCCGTTGGCCGTCTCGCTACACCAGTGGACGGCATTAAGGGCAGCCACCGGAAGTTCCGCACCCTCGTGTCCAGTTACATGGGTACGGCTGCACCGGGCGGTGTGTGGTGTCTATCGGTGTTAGCTGTAGATCTGATCCGCGCCGCCTGCCTGCCTGCACCCAGCCTCGGCAGAGGGGGAGCCGCTTGCCCCCCCCCCCCCCCGCCGCCGCCTCCGCCGCCCGTCCGCTCGCCCCTTCAACAGACAGTGCCCAGCCCTGCTGGGGCACTCGCCCTGCTCACTGGTACACCCCCTTCATGGGGGTGCCCGCAGCGCAACGACACTCTGTTATGGGCCTCTTGCAGCCTGAGTTTGGGAACATTGCTCCGTGTGGGTTCTCGTAGCCAATATGTGAGTCTTTATTGGCTTACCTCTGGCTTACCTTTGGGGTCTCGCCGACTGATCGGTTTGCTTGAGTTTTATGGGCTTGTCTGTTTGCAGTTTCACGGACCTTTCTATATGAACTCCTCTCTTAGGTTTGTCGGAGCTTTTCTGATCGGTTTGGATGTTCATCATTTGACTCATCTTGGACAGATTTGACTGGGCTCTCACTAGTCCATCTGCTGTGTTTATGTCACTGAGTGACCTGTGGGAGGTGTCCCATTGTTTGGATTGTCGTTGGTCCATTTCGTTTTATTTCCTGTTGGCATATTGATCTGGGATATCCCACCGACTATTGTGCATTAGTCATCAGGCGCTGATCTGTTTGGTATTTAATTGCTGACGTGTTCGGGGTGCTGGCCGGGCCACCGCCGGCTCGGCTTTTGCGTCCCGCCTTCACACGGCCCGGCCTGTACGGTTTCGGCGGACTGATCGGTGTTAGGTGTCTCTAGCGGCATTGTTTAAGGGCTGTCCCATTCACTTAAGTTCCGTTTAGTTCTCTTTAGGACACTTGACAGTCCCACGGGTGCTCCAACCGGTCCCTGTTCCCTGTGGTGACGCGGCGTGTTCGCGCGCACGGCCTCCGTGGCGCCCCGTCGGCGCACAGGGACGAGCGGTGGGGGCGCTACCGTCGGCTGCATGTCCCCGTGAGAGACGCCCCGACCGTGACCGGCGCTGGCCAGACTGCATGGCTCTGTCGGCGCTGGCGGCCGCCCGCCGCCGCGGCGCCGCGCTGCCAGCGCGCCGGCGACCGCTGCCCACCTCCTCAGCATGGCGCCGCCTCCGCCTCCGCGGCAGCAGGCTGCTCCGACCGGTATCTAGCCGTGCAATGCTCGATAGCCGGCCGTCTCGTGCCCCGGCTAGCTTTGTCCGACGGGACTAGCTTTGCCCGGCACGGGTTGGGAGCACGGTAGCCGGGGGGGGGGGGGGGGGGGGGGGGGGGGGCGAGGGGTGAACTAGTCGGGGGTAGCGCGGCGGCGAGCGCCCCGGAATATCTTGCCTCGTGAGCTGCATCTCCTCTGGGCCGGAGCGCGTACCCCGGTGTCGTGCGCCAAGCCCGGCCTGCCCGAGCCGGGCTGCCTCCAGTCCGCGCGCCGGCCGCGGCCGTGTTCCGGACTGTGCGCGTGCTGACGCAGCTGCCGTGCGCCCGCAGCGCTGCGCCACTCGCCCTCCAAGCGGAAGGGACAGTCGCTGCGGATGCGCGCGATGGACAACGAACGCAAGGACTCGGAGCTGTCGGCCGAGCAGCGGCAGCGGCAGCCGGGCCGGCCGGCCACCAGCAGTGAGTGTCGGCCGCGCCGCCCGGTCACTGACCGTCACCGGCACTGGCGCCTCTGGCGGCCGCAGCGCCGTGTCTCCGCGCTCGTCTGCGTTGTCCTGTTACCGGTCGCTGGTGAGGGCGCGGGGTGTATTCGTCTGGTGCGGGCTCAACTCTTGGCTGCTTGGTGTATGTGACTCACTGCACTAACCAGCGACTGCGTTTGCAGGACAAACCTCCGGTGTTGGGTGCGATTCCAAGTCAGGTGGGTGCTGGGTGTGCCGGGCACTTGAGCATGCTCCTCGCTCTGTGTGGTGGCCGTGGTGGTTGTGGCTGGCGTCTGGTGTCGTTTGGAGGCTGTTTTGCTCTCTCTCTCTCTCTCTCTCCTCCTCCTCTCGCTCTCTCTCCTCTACCCTCTCTCTCTCTCTCCCCTACTCTCCTCCATCCTCGTCTCATCTCTCTCTCTCTCTCTCTCTCTCTCCTCTTCTACTCATCTCTCTCTCTCTCTATCTCTCTCTCCATCAACTCCTCTCTCTCTCTCTCCTCATCTCTCGCTCGTCTCTCTCTCTCTCATTCATCTCTCTCTCTCTCTCTCCTCCTCTCTCTCTCCTCTCTCTCTCTCTCTCTCTTCTCTCTCCTCTCTCTCTCTCTCTCTCTCTCTCTCTCTCTCTCTCTCTCTCTCTCTCTCTCTCTCTCTCTCTCTCTCTCTCTCTCTCTCTCTCTCTCCTCTCTCTCTCTCTCTCTCTCTCTCTCTCTCTCTCTCTCTCTCTCTCTCTCTCTCTCTCTCTCTCTCTCTCTCTCTCTCTCTCTCCTCTCTCTCTCTCTCTCTCTCTCTCTCTCTCTCTCTCTCTCTCTCTCTCTCTCTCTCTCTCTCTCTCTCTCTCTCTCTCTCTCTCTCTCTCTCTCTCTCTCTCTCTCTCTCTCATCTCTCTCCCTCTCTCCCCTCTCCCCCATCCCTCTCTCTCGCTCTTTCTCTCCTATTTTGTATCCTCTCTTCCTCCGTTCACAGCCTTTCCCCCCCCTCCCCCTGCGCCGTCACTCAGTTTTCCTCTCCTGGTCCGTGCCCCACCCCCTCCATCCCATCCCTACGCCTCCCTTACCATTGTCAGCATCGCCTTACCCTTTCATCCCCGACTACCTATTTCCATGTCCTGCTTCCTTTCCCTCTTGTTCTTTTCCTCTGCTCTCTCCATTCCGGTCATTCATTTTCTCTTTCCCTTTTGAATATCATTTTGTTCTTCCCACTCATCTCCCGCTCTGTCTTACCCCCGTCTATCGCTTATTTCGGCTCTCTCTCCTTAAGACATTCCCTGTCTATTTCATCTTCTTTCTCTCCAGCCACTAACTCTCTGGCTATCTAACTCTGGCGCGGCGCGTGGCTGGTAGCTAGCGCTGACCGGAACGGGGTGTGGCCTGTTTCAGGAGTCCCCAGCACCCCACCCGCGCCCCCGTGTGCCCCTATCCTGGGCGGGCCGCAGGTGTCGCTGCCGGCCGTGCTGCAGGACCGGCCGCGGCCGCCGCCCGGCCGGCACCGTCAGCCGCCGCCCGTGCCGCCCCGCTCGCCCAAGTCGCTGCCGCTGGTCGGCGCGCACAGCCGAGGTAGTGGTCCGCTGCCGTCGCCGCCGCCGCCGCCGCCGGCACCGCCGGCACCCGCACCCCTGCACGCCTGCTGGCCGGCCGGCCTGCCGCGGCCGTACCGGACACCGGCCGCCGTCCTCGGCCCCGTCCTGCCGCCGACGCGCTCCGACTCCCGCCAGTCCATGTACTCTGCCCTGAGTCGCCAGGAGTCGACAGGTCCGTCACCTCCTCTCAGCCCGTTTACTGGGCGCTCGTCCCTGTCCCTTCCCCTCCCAGGCCGTGAACTGGGCGCTCTTCTCCGTCCCTCCTCTCAGACCGTGTGCTGGGCGCTCGTCCCCCTCCCCCCTCTCAGGCCGTACACTGGGCGCTCGTCCCCTGTCCCCCCCCCCCCTCTCCCAAGCCGTGAGCTGGGCTCTCGTCCCCGTCCGCTCCCATGCCGTGTATTGGGCGCTCATCTCCGTATCCCGCCCCTCCCAAGCCGTGAGCTGGGCGCTCGTCCCTGTCCTTTCCCCTCCCAGGCCGTGTACTGAGCGCTTTTTTCCGTCCCTCCTCTCAGACCGTATACTGGGCGCTCGTCCCCCTCCCCCCTCTCAGGCCGTATACTGGGCGCTCGTCCCTGCCCCCCCCCCTCCCCCCTCTCCCAAGCCGTAAACTGGGCGCTGTTCTCCGTCCCTCCTCTCAGACCGTGAGCTGGGCGCTCGTCCCCGTCCTCTCCCAGGCCGTGTAGTGGGCGCTCGTCCCCGTCCTCTCCCAGGCCGTGTATTGGGCGCTCGTCCCTGCCCCCTCCCCGCTGTAAGTTCTTACACAGTCCGGGATCATCACCAACAGCGGCGGGCTCGAACGACCCCGGCTGCTGCAGCTGTCCTATAGGCCCTCCCCGATGCCTGGCAGTCCCGCTCCTGTCCTGCCCTGGGTCGCTAGCCGCTGTCGGTCCCGTCTCGTGCACTGTTCCGCAGCGCTGTGGAGCCTTTGTAGTTGACCAGCTGCCCGGCAGCAGCCGCAGTCGCTCCTGTCCTGAGGTCTCCTTGCCTTGTTGTTGACGACCTCAGCGTTGGCGTTGCCCCCTCCCCCCCATGATCACCACCTGTCCCAATCCCATGCCCTGTGTTCAGCGTGACGGGCGCCCTCGTTCTGCCTCATCCTCCCCTCCCCACACATAGTGATCCGTATTTAATCCAGTCTGTAGTGAAACTGAAAGAACGACCTGAGGGATAACAGCAGGGGTAACTCACATGGAGTGATAATAGGCTAGACGCTATCTGGCCATGTTATCGCGCTCGAAATTCAAAGTAACTAACCCATCAACCAGTGATACGTTGGTATTTAAAACACATGCCGGCGCAGCATCAGCACGTTAATTATCTGGAGTGAAATACAAATTTGCCTCCTTATGACCCCCACCGATCCGGCTGACAAACGTCGTCACGCAAATTGCGGGAATTGCGATCTCGTCGGTCCAGCGGGCCTGTGCGGACCTCTTGTTGGTCGTACACACCTGCCGCTGCCATCAGGGGCCGACGACTTCCAGACCGCCAGATAAAACATGTCCGCATCCATCACATCTGAAGTCTCGCAGTATCCGTCCGGTCACGTTCGGCTGTTGTCGGCGTCGCTCTCCGTCGCTCTCCTCTCGCTCTCCTCTCGCTCTCCTGACCGGCGCGGTCTCCTCCCTTCCCCCGTCGGTTCCTGGCCCCCGGCTGGCGGGGCCGCCCGCCCCCGCCGCGTCTACCGTCCTGACCGGCGCGCGGCCTAGCCCCCCATGACTGTTCCTGGCTTCCGCCTGGTGGGGTCGCCCGCCCCCGCCGCGTCCGCCGCTTTCCTGAGCGGCGCGCGGCTTGGTCCCCCCTCCCCGTCCGTTCCTGGCCCCCGGCTGGCGGGGCCGCCCGCCCGCGCTGCGCGTAGCATGGGTGGCGCCCTCTGTGTCGTCAGTGGCTGCGTCTGCATCTGGCATGACTTGGCTCGTGCCCCCGTGCCTAGGCGATTTGTCTCGGGCAGCCTGTAGGTCGTGGCCGGCATGAGCTGGTGAGGGCGCTGCAGTGGACACGGGCTCATGTCGACCGGTCGCCTTCAGACGCCAAACGGCCTGTATCCGACCGGTGGTCCACGCGCCAGCACTGCTCCTCCCTGTGTCGCATATGGTGATAGCGTTCCTTGTTTGGCAGCAATGCGAAGCCTTGGTTGACTTGCCACAAGTTTTATGTCTTGCAACGGCATAAGAATATTCACTTGTCACGTAACGAGTACTGCTGCTTGCTAGCAATCCACGCATGCCCTCCGTTATTATCATTAATTCGTGGCTATTTTTAGTTGCCGTTTGTTGTCCTATGCTACGTGACGTTTGTGGCGGAGATGGGGATGGAGATGGAGATGTACCTTCCCAAATCGGCAGATGCCTGCCTGCGAGTCCACCGCAATGGTGGCATTCCTGGGATGGTGGCCGCTCTGAACCTGGTCGTGTCACCTTCTGCCTCGGGACCTCCTGGTGTCAATGCCAATAGAGGCTGATATGCTGAGCATTGGTGATCCTACCTTGCCGCATGCTGTTTGAAATGAACACCCAAAGCCATTGCGAAGGAAATTGCCCTAAGCCATGTCATTTGTGTGGATGTCACTGTATACAGGCCGTGGGGTAGTGCCGGTGTTGATGTGTCGTGACCCGGGCGCACCCGGGGCTGCTCGGTTCAGAGCGGGTCGGGACGGGCCGCGTGGTGTGTTAGTCTCGGCGCCTGGTGCGCCGCCTTCCCTGCGCCATCGTTTCCGCCCAACACTGCCAGCATCGAGCCGTGTACTTCACGTGATGCCCACCGCGCTGCATGTCGGCAAATCAAAAGTACCTAGCATTTTTGGCGTGGACGTGGTCCGATGGTGACCGTGACAGCCGTCTAGGTCAGGATGTCACTGCCCCGATCAGACGAGACAGACGAGACGAGACATGCTGGCCAGTGCCTGTGTGTGGGTGGGGGGGGGGGGGGGGCGCCTCTCCGCGCGCGCCTGTTACGCCCCCCCCCCCTCGCCGTGCCCCTGTGCGGGTGTATGTTGCTGTGGTGTTCTGTGGGGACGCATGATCAGCTGCCCGCCCGTGTCCGAGCCCGACGTGCCGAGTCGGCGCGCGTCAGCACCTCCACGTTCGGGCACCACTGTTGCCTCTGCGAGCACGCGCGCCTAGCAGCCAGACGTGCCGACCGTGTGCGTGTCAGTGTGCCGACGACTCTCTTGGCCGCTGGCCCTGCCCCTGTGGCCACCGGCCGTGTCCGGGTCTGATGACTGAACGTGTTCGCTGTGCGCGTGCATGTGCTGCGTATGCGCGTGTGCGTGTGTGTGTGGCCCGGTCCGTGCCGGCGTCCCTGTCCGTGCCTGCGGCCGCGTCTGACGGCCGGCCGTGTCCGCTGTGCGCGCAGGCGGGCTGCAGCAGCAGACCAGCGTGACCAGCACGAGCAGCGCTGGCGGCCGGCAGCCGGAGTCGGCCTCGCGCCACGTGACGCAGCTCACCATCAGCGGCTCCTCGTCGGCCGGCGACGACGACAAACGCGACAGCGTCAGGTGGGTGCGCCTCGGCCGTCGCGCCCTCCGCCGTCCGTCGCCGCCGACCGCTGCCCGTCGGCCGCCGCGTACCACTGACGCCGCCGGCCCTCTTCTGGTAGACTGGTGGGGTACAAGCGACACCTCACGCGCTTCCCGTCCGTGCTGCGCACTCCCGAGCTGAGCGCGCCGCACGGCCGCAGGGGCGCCGGCCCGGCGTCGGCCATCAGGTACCGACTCGAGTGCGTGTGGCGTGTGACTAACCGGCGGGGCTCCGACCGGACTCCCTACTCCTCCGGCTCCCCCGCTCCTCCGGCTCCTGTTGCTCCTCCGACACCCCTTGCTCCTTCGGCCTCCCTGCTCCCCCGGCTCCCACTGCTCCTCCGGCTCCCCCTTTCCTCCGCCCCCCCCCCCCCGGCTCCTCCGACTCCCCTTGCTCCTCCGGCTCCCCTTGCTCCTCCGGCTCCTCCGCCTCCTCTTGGCCTTCCAGCTCTCCCTGTTCCTCCGGCTTCCCTTGCTCCTCCGGCTCCCCTTGCTCCTACTGCTCCCCTTGGTCCTTCGGCACCCTTGCTCCCTTTGCTCCCCTCCTCCTCCGGCTCCCACCGCTCCGACAGGGCTCCCAGCTCGTCCGGCTCCCCCGACTCTTCCGGCTCTTCGGGCTCCCCTGCCGTCTGCGGCGAACGCTGCGGCCGCCCGACGAGGACGGTGGCGAGCCCGGCTGCCGCCGTGCAGGTCCCGCCGTCCCGCCGGCCCTGGCGCTGGCCGCGCGCCGAGGCCATCCCAGAAGCGGGAGAGCGTGTGATGGCGGCACGCGTGGTGTCGGGAGATAGCCCCGTAGACGTGTGGTGGTGGTGGTGGCGGCGGACGGCAGCTCGTGCCGCTGCGCTCTGGATCTGACCCGGGGGTCGGCGTCGCCCTGCCCGCCAGCGTGTACGAGTCGCGCTACACCGTGGTGGTCCACTCGTCGGTGGCGGCGGGCGCGCGGCGGGTCCGCGGGCTGACCAGGTACTGGCGGCGGGGTCCGCGCACAGGCCCCTGCATTGCGGCCGGCTCGGCCTCGGGGACCGCAGACGGGCCGGATACCGTACTAGTCAATAACACTGCACGACCCGGAGTGACCGCATTGTAGCTGACTGACTTCAACGCAATCACGCAGTGAACGCTGAGACCGGTGTTTGGTAGAAGGCAATTAGTGAGTCTGTACTGGGCCAGTGTGGGAGTGATATGAGCATCAAATGATCAGCAATTTTGGCTGGTTTTAAGTGTCTAACTTCGCTTCGACATGTGACTTTAAGAAGCGTATTTTCTGCCACCCGTCTAGAAGTAACCCTGATCCGTGTGCGGTGTTCTTTTTTTGTTGTTATTCCAGTCAAGTGCATTTGGTTTCTGCGTTCCCTGACTGCTTATCGTTCAGTTTCGATCTTTCATCACCAGCTTTTGTGAGTTGTGTGGTGAAGTATGTAGACACTAGAGTAGCGTTAATACTTACCTTTCGTCCTTTCACTGTTCACACATTCCTGAAATTATTACGTCCCTCCGCCTCTCCCCCGTTCTTCGCATTGCGGCGTCTCCGTCCTCAGCGGTGTCCGTCCCTGGTTCCGAGACGGTCCGCCCCAGCCCGTGTCCCTCCTCTCGGGCAGTGTCCGTCCCTGGTTCCGACCCGTGTCCCTTCCCCTCGGGCGGTGCCCGTTCTTGATCCCGGCCCCGCGGTCCGCCCAGCCCGTGTCCCTTCCCCTCGGGCGGTGCCCGTTCTTGGTCCCGGCCCCGCGGTCCGCCCCAGCCCGTGCCCCTCCCCTCGGGCGGTGTCCGTCCCTGGTCCCGGCCCGTGTCCCTTCCCCTCGGGCGGTGCCCGTTCTTGGTCCCGGCCCCGCGGTCCGCCCCAGCCCGTGTCCCTCCCCTCGGGCGGTGTCCGTCCCTGGTTCCGGCCCGTGTCCCTCCCCCCGGGCGGCGTCCGTGCCAGCGTGCCCGCCTCTGACGGCGCCGGCGCCCGGCCGCAGTGTGTCGGACATCCAGCTGGACCCGCGGCCCGAGTCGCGCTCTACGCTGAGCGTCGACTCGGGGCCGAGCTCGGCGGCGGCGGCGGCGACCGGTCCGCTGCGACACGTCACCTGGACGCCGCCCATGTCGGTGGAGGGCAGCACGCCCACCTGGACCGAGGGCACGCCCAGCTTCACCGAGAGCTCCAGCAGCGGCGACATGGGTGAGGCGCGCTAGCTGCACGGCTGCTGGGGCGGGAGCGCACTGCCAGGCGCGACGCGCTCTGGCGGAGCTGGTCTCGGCGGGATGTGGTGGGCGTCATCACGAGTGATCTGCGCTCGTGGTGAGAGGGTCGGCCGCTGCACCGTTGTCATTCCGGGGAGCGTTGTGGCCGGTGCTGGGGGCATGCCGCCAGCAGAGGGCTGAGCTTTTCTCTTTAAAGAGGCTGCTGTTGGGAGAAATGCGGCGAACTGGTTGTTGGGAAGGACTCGGTGTTCAGGACTTCCTCGCCTGAGAGGTGCGGCACTAGCCTTTCGGAGCATGGTATTGCCCGTTGGGCGGAACGCGAGGTTGAGGTTTGAGGGCGGTCAGGATCGTCGCCGATGTGGTGTTCGGTGGTTGGACCGAGCCGGGCCGGGAGATGACCTCTGAGCTGGTCGCGCTGCCGCCAGGCTGTCCGACCACGCCCGTGAAGAGCCTGACGGCCAGCCGGGACAGCGGCGTCAACACCATGCCGTACGTCAAGCTGAACAGCAGCTGCTCGGACCGAATCCCCACCGCCTCCTACCAGGAGACGGAGATGGTGAGTAGTCGCCGGACGCCGGCCGTGCTGGCGTCGGCTGAGCAGCGGCCGGCCGCCTCGCTTGTGCGCCGCCCGCTCTGGGGCCGGCGAGGTCGCCGCTGGCGTCTGGGGACGCTGTCTGGTTTGTGTGGTGTCGCATGCACGTCCGTTTGACAACGCTGCCGGGCACAGCGGGGCGCTGGGAACGGTAGACACGCACTGCACACAGGCGGGGTCCTCCCGAATCCTCCCGCCGTCCCCTCTCCGCCGGTATGCGGCGACCCTGACTAGCAGCCATCACGTATGAGTTGCGTTTGGTTTGGTTTTCACTCGTTTGTTGATGCTCTGCATACCTGACGTGGTTTGGATTGGCCGCCGCCCGCCGCTGCTAGACGAAAGTAGACAAGCGACCAATGGCACGCGTTCGATGTTTACTGTTTTGTCACCCGCATGTGAGCGTTATGATTTGGCGCGCGTATGAGTTCCGTTCGCCCTCAGCCTCGGTTCGGTTGTGTTTCGGTGGTTTCACTGTAGGCCCGGCGCACGTGACCGTCTGGATGACTGCGCGGCGCTGACCGTCTGCGTCACTTTGTGCACGCGCCCTCCCTCCTGCGTTCTTGTTTGGACTCTCCCGTTATGTTTCGTTTGTACTTCTGATGGATCGATTGCATGGCGATGGTTTCTGTTCGGCCGGACGGCGCTGTGACTGGCCTGTGCCGCTGTTCTGTTCGGACCGTTACGTTCATGATGGGCAGCTGCGGCGCCCGGCGCAACTGGGCGCATGCGTGTCCCGCTCGCCCACCAGAGGCCGTCCCCCGCCCCACTGCACCATGCTCGGCTGTTGTGCACTTTCGTTCGTGACGGCGCGCACGAAGGCGTTCAGAATGGGTCGCGTTGTCGCGGAGCGTGACAAGCGCTGAGTGGATAGCCGGTCGTTGTCGGTGTAATGGTTGAGTGCGTTGGATCGGTTTGCTTACGAGTGGAGTGGCCAGTCGCTCAGCCGATGCTTGCTTCGCACCTTGATCATTGACGTGCCCGGTTGAAATGACGTGGTGTTGAGCCGGGCCGACGCGTCCGTTTGCTGCGTCAGCTGGTTTGTAGTGCGCGGCCCTGAGCGCGGCGCAGCGGCGGCGGAGTGTGCCACCGGGCGTCGGCGGTGGACGGGCGGACGGAGCGAGTCGTGGGCAGCCTGTGTGCCGCCGTCGGTGACGGCCTGATGTTTTCAGTGATGTTGCCGTGCCGGCGGCGCCGGGACGCGCCAGCGCCGGCGGCCGCCGCTGACGCCGGCGCGCATCCGGCCGCCGGCGCCGGCCGCCGGCCAGTAGCGGCGCGGGCCGGCGGCGGGCCCGGTGCTCGCCTCGGCCCGGCGCGGGCTCGGTCGGCCCGGTGCTCGCCTCGCCTCGCCGCCTCGGCCGCCAGACGTACCCACTGCTGCGGCCGGCACCACACTGCTCGCTGGCGGTCAGCCGGGTGTTTTTGCGTATCTCCGTTGTTGGTTAGCGCTGGACGAGGGCCGAAGCGGGGCCCGTCTCGTCGGTGACCGCCGCTGCCGCGCTGCCGGGCGCGGTCCGTCGCACCGCGGCGCACGGGCGGCGTCTGCTTGTGGCGGCCTGCTGCGACGGCTGGCTTTGACGTCTCTTCTCATCACTGTCTCTGTGGCTGGTCTGTGTCTCCGTGTGAAGCTCCCTTCCCGTAGCGCCAGCGGGTGGTGGCATGTAGCATCTGCGAGCGCTACTGCAATCTGCGTGTGACGGCGTGTGGCGGTGCCACCGATCCTGTGGTCACCGGGCGCGCTTGTCTGGGTTCGGCACCTCACCGCCAGCGCGCTCCACTGGCGCTCGCCGCCCCACCCGCCTGTCCTCTCTGTGCTGTCTGTCCGCCCTCTGCCGCCGTTGTCCGCCGGCCCGCCGCAGCCTGCCGGGTCCGCGTCTCCGGGGCCACGCCGCGCCCGCTGCCGGTCGGGCCAGCGGCGCCGACGACCGGCCGACCAACTCAACTCAACTCTAGCTGATCTCTTGTATTCGCCGATCGAGCTTATGTCTTTGAGCGCGCACTTGGCGCGTGTCGGAATGGTGGAAGTGGCCGGGTACGACCGGTTTGGAAGCGTTCGTCGGGGAGAACCGTGCGCCGAGCGTGACGTGTGACTGCGGCGGCTGTTGTGTTTTGTGATAGTGCACCTGAGCTGGCGGCGGCGCCCGGCCGGGTCGCCGCCGGCGCTCGGCCGCCGGCGCCGCCGGGTCCGCGCGCGACACGACGGCCGCCGCCGACTGCTAGAGGCCAGCTCCGTGTGGTTGTAGGGACCTCAGGTGGTGATATATTACTAGCGCGTGGTGGCTGAAGTTCCGGTGGCGTGTTCAGTGATGCCTGCGTATTGTTTCATCCAGTTAGTCAATGTGAATACACTTATGCCGTATGGAGAGGATGTGACATTCAGCGCCGGAGGAAGGCTCGGTCTGACCGGCGGCCGAGTCAGGCTACAGGTGAAGTTTGGGCTCCCTCTCTTTCAACTGGTGGGCGCTCCCTCCAGCGGGTTTCTCACATCAGCACACGCACACACACAGACGTACGGGTGCTGAGTGTTCCCACTGCAGACTTTTGGTTGCTTCTTTGCTTTGTTTTCTCGTTCGGCTCGGTTCTGTTGGTACCGGACGCTACGTGTCCCGGTGGCCTCCGTGTTTTCTGTTTTGTTTGTTCCATTGTTTTACGTGTGGCGTTTCTGTCGGTGTGCCGTGTGGGCCCGGGTCACCGCCTGCGCCGGCTCGGCTGGCTCTGACGGCGCGCGCCGTTCCGTTGCAGGGCGTGGTGTCGACGGCCACCGACTCGGTTTGTATCCACGTGAGCGGCCCGGTCGGCCGGCGCTGATCAGGCCTGTGCGGTCAAGCAGCGAACGGCCGGTCCGCGAGCCCGCGCGCCGCGTCGCCGGGCCAGCGGCCGGACTCGCGCCTCTGAACTGTGATGGGGCGTGGCGACACGCCCGGGACGCCGTGTCGCTGCGCTGTCGGCTCGCCCGCGTGTATGGGTTGCGTGCGTGCGTGCGTGCGTGACGCTCGGCTCGGGCGGGACACCCGAGCCGGGGTGGTCGCCGCTGGTGCGGCGGGCGGCCGGGGCCGACGCGCCCGACGGACGGAGCCGCGCCGCCGCCGTCGCCGACGCGCCCACACAGGGTCCAACGACGCAGCATTTACCTTCGACAGTGGGCCGGCGTGGCCCGTGCATTTATATCGGCTTCGCCCTGGGCGATGAGCCTTTGAGCTACGTAACCGTTACGGATGTGGCGCGGCTTCATCGCTGCGGACGCGGCGTCGAACGAGACGGTGTTGCGATATAGCTGTGAATGATGTCCCGGGGGCGCATTGGCGGGGGTCGTGAGCCGGGGCGCGGCGCCAGCGAGTTAGTCGCCACGAGATCTGTACATTCTTGGGGTTCAGCTGTAGTTGAGAGCAGCGGTTCGGCGCTCCGGAGCCGGCTGACCGCGCGCCGTCCCGCTGGTCCCGCTTTGCTGTTGTTCAGTATGTCTAGCTTACGCATAATACAGCTAATGCGACCTGTCGTGCTGTTTTGTTCGGGGCTGGGAGTGGCCTCGGTCGGGTTCGGCGCGGTGTCCGGCGCCCGCCTGGTCTGCCGTGACCTGTCCTCTTCCAGAGGTGCGGCCGTCGCCTGGTGACCTGGTATCGGGTGCTGGCTGGCTCCGTCGTAACGTCCTGACATGCCTTCTAGGCGCCGCGCCCCGTCTATAACTGTTGCTCGGAGCCGAACGTTGTCTGCTTCGCTGACGGCCGGCCGTTCTGCGTGCGGTGCGCGGCCCAGTTCGTGTAGCCAGGTACGGCGGCGCAGGGGCTGGCGGCCGACCGCCGGCCGCGCCCCACTGCTCCCGGCCTGTCGTGACGCTTCGGCCCCGCCTCCGCCCACCGGGCGAACCCGCCTGTCACTGACACGGCGGGGCCAGTGTTTTTACGTGACAGGATGCTGTGAGGTGTTTTGAAGTTGCGAGTAGTTCGCTGCCTGGTTTGACCTTACCGCACTGCTCTGCGAAGGGCACTCGCTGATGTGCTGTGACCTTTTTTGACGTTTGACGTGCGGCAAGTTCAGTGGATGGAGGGTGTACGGGGATTGGCAGTACTCCCAAGGGTGCATCACTTCGTGCCGGAGGTTTTGTTTGACGCGCTGTGAGCTGGTGTTGCTTGTGGCTTGGGTTTGGCAGCGGTGTGTTGCAACGCCACTGTTTCCGTGTTGGGCGAGTCTGCACGCTTCGGATATGCCCGCCGATGGCCTGGGCCGTTCTGCGGCTGTGCTGTCGCCCTTTCGGCGCGACGGAGACAGGTGAGACTGCCAGTGCCTGCTGCCAATCACGCATGTGTTGTCAAGCGACGGCTTGCTTGATTCGGTGATTCGACGGGCGATGCGGGGCAGGTCGGGTGGGCTGGACGGGGGTCATCGGGACTCACCTATGCACCCCGGTATGCGCACGCTTTGGGTCGTGTTTCTACATCCCATCTCGATCGCTCGGTGAGTGCGAGTCGTGATGGGCACTCGGTATTTGCTCTTAACAGGCCTGGGCTGCGGCCGGTGACAGTGGCTGCGCTAAAGGTCAGGTGACGTTAGAGAGCAGAGCGGATCATGCCAAACATTGCGGTACCACAAACTTTCGCTATCAAATTATGCCGCCGACCTGAGATTGCACGGTCGAATGGTAGGGATTGGGACTCACACGAGCGCTGCTTAGGTGAACTCTGACCCCAGAAATCCAGCCATTCAAATAGTTCATCGGGATTGATATTATTTTATTTTTGTAATCATTCCAGCAGTTACGAGCTGCACGAGACGTTGCTCAGGGCAGGCGCGCTGATTTGTGCATGCGGCGTCTTTCGACCTCGGCGCCTGCCGAGTGCGTGCCAAGGAGGAGGCTGGCGGGGGGCGCGCCGGTACCTGGCTGTGACCAGTGAAGCAGGTCTCGTTTTCAGACGCACCTTTGAAGGGGACGCGGGCGGGCGCCGGTTTCGCCCGGCCGACAGCGCGCAACGCCACTGTCGGCTGGGTGGGCGGACCGCTGCTGAGTCCGCGCATCCATTACGAAGACGACGAGGCGGCGAACTCGGCCGCCGACCAGAACGGAATCTGGGACCAGCGCTGGGCACAGGGCAGACCTGCGGAGCCAGCGGCGACACAGACAGAACTTCAGAAGCTCTCAGCGTCCCAATCCGAACCCTCAGACTCTCGGAAGGCGCAGCTCGAACCCTCGGACCATCAGAAGATCCGGACCGAGCCCACAGATCCTCAGAAGGTCCAGACCGAACCCACAGATCCTCAGAAGGACCAGACCGAACCCACAGATCCTCAGAAGGTCCAGACCGAACCCACAGATCCTCAGAAGGTCCAGACCGAACCAGACCGAACTGGAAGCGGGCAGCCAGTTGCCGCAGGCGGAGGTCGGGGCGGCGTTCCAAAGGAGTGGCCTGACCGCAGGGCGGGCGAGCCGGCCGAGACCGCTCACCGCGGAGGCGCCGCACCGCACAACTCAAAGGACAGCGCGACGAGACGACCCAGCGAGCCAGGGGGCGCCAGCAGCGGCCCGTCTGGCGTCCCTAGAGGTGACGAGGGCGGCCCGCCGGCCGGGGTGGGCGCAGGTGAGCGAGCCGTCTCGGCCGGACCACCAGCCGACGTCCGCGGTGGCTCGCTCGGGCCGCTCGGTGACTGCGGCCGCCGGCAGGGTGACGGCGGCGCCTCGCTGGCTGGTCGGATCTGGGGCCGGCTCTCGCTGCGCCTGTCAGGCCGCAGGCGAGCGGGCGGGGCGCGCCGGGCCAACTCGACTGCCGGACGTCGGCCGCCATCCTCGGAGGCCGTGCTGTGACGCGCGCGGACGGCGCCGGCGGCGTCCGCGACGCGGCGTGGGTGTCCTCCCAGCCGCCGCCGTCAGCCCGCGCCGGCCAGTCCCCGAGGACGGTCGGACAGTCCAGCTCGGGTACATCGCTAGAGTTGTATGCGATACAACCTTCCACCGGCAGATGGGCCAGTTGTACGGTGTGCACATGCGTATCTGGGGCTCTGTGTAGCGAGGTCCGATGCACTTTCGGCGTGACATTGGCGCGTGGTGAACAACGCCTGAGAAAGGGAGAGGTGTGTTTGCCCGGACACGTGGAGAGGTGTGTATGCTGGGGTGTGAGTACGTGTTAGATTGCGAGGGAACTGCGGGAGTGATCTGCGTGGATGCCCGGCTCATTGTTATTTCTGAGTGTAATACAATTATTGAATATTGGATGCAATGAGTGAGTTGAAAAGCTCGTAGCTACACACAATAACATGGGGAGGCGCCCACTGACCAACCAAAGCTGGCACCCACTGTCTTGGGGAGGCACCGACTGACTACCCGAAGCTGGCATGCACTGACTTGGGGAGACACCCACTGAATAACAAAGGCTGACATCCACTGACCTACGGAATCCCGGCGAAGAGGTTAAGAAGCTTACCGCAGGCCGGCTTTACGGCCTTCACGACTCCGTATTGAACGGCGGTGCGTCTTGGTGGCCCGGTGGTTGCCATCCTGGCTCAATGTGCTTTTCGCGGCGTTTTAAGAAAGAAGGCTGTCACTTGTTTCTTGTAAGTTAATTTTCCTGCTGGGCCCTGGGGCGATGGCCTGCAATGTTTTGAGTTGTGCCAATGGTTCGAACAACATGTAGCCTAAAAGTCTGCTCAAATCTCTCGGATGCATAGAGCGATTCCACTGGTGAGGCTCATGGAAGCTCGGACAGGACCAAAATAAGTGGGAGAGGACAGGCCCCCGCCCGCGATCTAGGGATTGAGCACTAAGCCTGGGGTATTGCACGGGAAACATGTGCTCTGTCTTCAAAACCAACTTGCGCCAATACGTCAGGCGTTCCGACGACCCCCCCCCCCCCACACCCTGTTCCGTAATCCGGAGCTTCTACCACCACCGGATATACAGCTTCATTCGAATTGAATTGAACTGTACTTCAATCGAGCGGAGGAAGCAGAACAAATGTAAGACCTGACTCGGCCTTGGGACCGCTGCCATGAGATTGCCCGCGGCTGCGGTTGCGCCATATTTTACCCGTGATGGCTTCTCGCATAGATCACGGATGTATTAAGTGAAGGACGGGACCCGTTCCTCGCCTGTCCTTGTCCTCTCACACATAGACACGGAAGAGCTCCGAACCGCCGCCGCCGACGAAGGGCGACTTCAGCGCCTCTAGCGGCGAACGCCCGCCGCCTAAATCGATATCAACATGGCGACAGCCGCGGTGGGGCGTGTGGGCTGGATCGACGGAGGCGTGCCGTGATAAACACAGGCAGGAGGACGCAGCCGACGATAAAAAATCCCTACTCTCGGTGTTCGCCGCTTGATCCCTACGGGCGGCCGTCGCCTCGTACCCCGACCGAGATGCCGACCCGAATCATCCACAAGACGCTGGACGAGTGCCTGGCGCCGCGCCAGACCATGGAGCACGGCCTCTTCCTGACCAGGTACGTCCGGCGCTGGGGCCGGGGCTGCGCGGGCCGGGCCGGGCGGCGGCGGCGCTCTTCCCGGTCACTGAGGCGCCCTCGGCCGGGACGCTCGCTCCGTACGTGCGAAGCCGTTGGGGGAGGGGGGGGGGGGGGGGGCAGGGATGCCGCCTCGGTGGGGAATATACCAAGAGCTCTACTTCCGACCAGGGACGGCCGCTCCTCAGGCGGGAGTACAGCCCCGGGGGGGGGGGGGGGGATTCGTCAACGCCGTGTGATAGCTGCTGTGTCATGCCTGATACTGATGACTAAACATCGCACGTGCGCAAGCGGAGGCAACGGTAAATGAAACCCTGACGGTCACAATAATGAAAGGCATGTCTACGGTGATAGTGTTGATCTGCCCACTTGTTCGATATTCTACAAGCTATTTTTGCTGGCAGCGTGTTCTGATTGCGATCAAGCCGTTTGTATTGAGACTGGTCTGCGCGCCAGCATTGACATCCCCCACGGGTGCCGCGTGTGACGTCCCCAGTGGCGCGCCTCCCGGCGTTCGCGGCGCGGGAGACACCGCGCTGCATCTGGTCACCTCCGCCACAACCGAGGCTTGTTGGATGTCGTCAGGCCGCCTGACCCTGTGTTGGTGAGCTGGGCGGCAGGCTGACCTGCTCTTGGCTGAGCCCCTCCCCTCGGAACGGACGCCGCAGCTCTCTGTCACGTCCGACATCGCCTGCCTGGCAGGAAGATCATCGGCAGCCAGCAGCTGAGCACGTGCGACCCGTTCATCCTGGCCGACCACGTGGGGCCGATCCAGTACGGCGCGGGCGAAGCGCTGGGCGTGCCGGACCACCCGCACCGCGGCCTGGTGGTCGTCACGTACGTGGTGGAGGGCGGCATGCGCCACCAGGACTCGCTCGGTCACAACGGTACGTCCGCCGTCTGACCGGCGCACGTGCTGACGGCTCAGCACGGCGCGCTGAAGCCGGTGCCGATGGCCGCTTGCTGGCCCCGGCAGCAGGATGTGCTGTCGTGTGCAGAAGTGCGCCCCGACGTCCCAACAATGCGCCCTGGCGGTCAACACGGCACTCTCAATGTGGCCACAATTTGCCAGTCTCATAAGGACGTACTCCGCCCCCACGCTGACCTGGCGTCATGAAACTCACAGCGGCCTGCTCTGCGTCATGACGTTTACGGGGTTGTGCGCCATGCCCATGACAACGAGACATGCTGACAGTTACAACGGTTCGTCATGACAGGCTAAGTTAGACGTCCTGTCAGTAACATCTGTCACATTCTTACGGTCACGGTCTCATGCCCTGACAGTCACGAGGTACTTCCTGACACGCGAGCGATCGGATTTGCGTACCGTAACAGTCACGACGACGCATCCTGATATTTATATTACATAGTATCGTAACATCACGGGTCAGCACCGCACGCTCTGACGGTCGTAACAGGACGTTCTGACGGTCACAGCGAAGAGAGCAGTCTGACAATGGTTCACTTCGCACTCGAGTCCTACTGAGTGCATCAAGACCTCCTTGTGCCAGAAACGCAAGGAAACGGCGTCCCCATGTTTCCCCAAACGGAGGAATTGTTCCGGTGTGGGGGAGGAGGGGGGGGGGGGACTTTGGGGCGCGGTCCCCCGCGCAATGCTGTCACGAGGGGATTCCCGCAGACGCGTCTGACGTACAACCCCGGCCGATGGCGCCGGCGGCCCGTCAGCAGCCGGCCGGGGCCGGCTGCCGGCGCCGCGCCGCTGCTGGTCCGGCGGCCCAGCTGCCCGGGCCCAGTCTGCGCCTGAGGCCACCTCCGGCGATTCCGCATAACGCCGTGTTGTCCCGCGCCGCCACCGGCGTGCTGGACCGCAGTAATGCCAGCGCGACCCGCGTGTCCGTCATCAAACCTGCTTCTTGTGGAAACCCCTGGTATTCTTCGGGCCTCTTGATTGCGCCTCCGCGAATTCAGTCTCGGGAAACCAACATGGCGGCTAGCTGGCTTTGCTCCACTCGGCGCGCTGGGAGCTTGTGACTGTGTGAAAAGTGGGATGGTTCAAACGACTACTTTTTAACAATATTAACTTTTACTGTTGTGTTTGAATGCCAATGCATACAATAGAGATTAATGTGTGGGACATTTGTCTCATTCCGAATCCTGTTTGATCAGACGTTATATCCTATACATGAAATTAAGTTATATATCCTCCTGATGACTATGGTGTCTTTTTTTGCCAGCCTCTCGCCTGTCTGTTGCCGCTCGTCTGCAAAGTTTTCGTTTCGGTATCGGACAAGCAGAAGCTCGCGCACAAAACTGGCATTTGTTGCAATGTTCAGAGCGGAACTGCGCAATTTTTATGCCGTTTGACTTACACAGATGTTTGCCGTCAATTATCTGAAGCCAGGATGCGCCCATCTGGCAATGTTTACCGCGCAGTCAACAGCTGGGGATCACCAGCCATGCAACAGCGTCCGCCAGCGCGGTGCCGATAGGTCGTCGCGACAGTGATAAAACCGATTCGTCACAGCATGCTCCACAGCTGGCGTCTACACTCGGTCACCGCCCGAACAGACGACGTTATCCGGAAAGACTTGAGCGGAACTGATATGGTAAAGGACCATCTGACGCACCATCTGATGCACCATCTGATGCATGTCTGCACTACGTCCTCTGATAAACATCCGAGCGCTATCAAAGTGGCCGGCGTGACGCACGGCCGCCGTGACGCGTGTCGTAGACCGGCCGGGGTGACGTCCGTCCGTCCGCGCCGGCCTGGCAGCCGGCGGTTGCGGTGTCGGGGCTGCCCCCCCCCCCCCCCTCCAGCCCAGCCCAGCCCAGCCTGCGGACACGGTGTCCGGGCAGACCCCCAGCCCAGCCGGCGGTCACGGTGTCCGGGCTGACCCCCCTCCCCCCCCAGCCAAGCCGGCGGACACGGTGTCCGCTTTCGGCTGTATGCGTCGCCGGACGCCGCGAGCGCTCGTTAGTGGTCGGGCTGCTCCGGCCGGGATCATTCCCCCGTCCGTGGCGCTCCGGGCGGCGCGGCCCAGGCCCGGCGGCGGTGCGCGCGACGGGCCCGACCACGGAGACCGAGGTGGAACTATGCATCGCGGCGGGACAGAAATAATGCTGTCGGACACTGTGACGCACGCTTGGTACAGAGATGAGACTGCAGGTGCGCCGTCCGATCCCTCGATAATGCGACACGCAGCTCTTAAGGCATGTGAACTTATTCATAGTCTAGATTCGGGAAGAAACCACAGCCACACGTGAGGAAAATAACCAGCAGCGTGAAGCGACGTCTGTCTGTCGCAGCTGCCATCGGTGCTCTGTAGCGGCTAAATGGCATGTCACCTGCTCTTAGCACGGTCTTTGGGATAGCCCTCGTACCCCCCTCACTCCTAAGGCTAATGTTTGTTATCTCTGGCCCTGAAGATGAACATTCGCTGGATTCCAAATGAATTGTGGACACGGCGACCAACCGCTGCCTCATTGTCTGACGTGTGAACAACCTTTTCACTGTGCTGACCCCTGTCTACCGTCCACTGCTGCCGTCTGACCAATCACTCCTGCCGTGTGACCGGCCATTGCTGCCGTGTGACCAAGCATTGCTACCGTGTGACCGACCATTGCTGTCATGTGATGGACCACTGCTACCGTGTGACGTACCGCTACTGCGGTGTGACATATTACTGCTGCCGTATGATGGACCACTGCTACCGTGTGATGGATCACTGCTACCGTGTGGCGTTCCACTGCCGTCGTGTGGCCGACCACTGCTGCCATGTGATGGACTACTGCTACCGTGTGATGGGCCACTGCTACCGCGTGACGTTCCACTGCTGCCGTGTGACCGATCGCTGCTGCCGTGTGACCGACACGCACTCCGTATGGCAGATGAGCTGCTGGCAGGCAGCGTGCAGTGGCTGAGCACAGGTCGCGGCCTGGTTCACCGCGAGCTCCCCAACGACCATCTGCTGGCCAACGGCGGCACCTGGGAGGGCTTCCAGCTCTGGGTCAACCTGCCGGCCAAGGTAAGACCAGCCGCCTTTCAGTAGCTGCGATGCCGAGCACGGCGCTGCTCAGCTCCGGCTGCGCTCCGGAGCGAGGTGTCGCATGTGGAGCGGTGCCGCGTCTGTCGCCTGTTTCGGGCCTGCCGTGGGCGCGCATGGTGCATGCTGTGTGTCGTTCGCCGCAGTTGATATAAGGGGCGTATCTGCCGAGTCTTGAGAGACATGAGTCCATCGTGGTAATCTCACTACGCTAGTGGGTGGATTATTTGTGAGATTTATAATTATATTTTAGTCATCTACGTGAACCATCAATGCATTTAACCTATGGAAAACTGTGTTTTAGTCTGATGAGAAGAAGGCTGCAGCATCTCCTAGAATGCGTTTGTTTCTGGTTGTCATAATTATACGTTGAAAGCTGCGTCAATTCTACAAGGCCTCGGCCTGGGCCTTCCGTAGAATGGCCAATTCTTTTAATTTCAAGAGACATGGCACACGCGATTTACTGCCGCTCCTCCAACTACCCGATGCTTAGAAAGCTTTAGCTATTGATCGCCGTACATATGCTTACACTTTGCACTCTACATGAACACAGTTAGCCTACGCCAATTATGTGCATTAATATAATCATGCATGTCAGAATGCATGTCTCATACTCATTCACCGTGCACGTCATGCTCGCACACATGCGACGTGCCCTCATGTGGCCTGGCGTGTCCTCATGTGGCCCGACGTGCCCTCATGTGACCCGACTTGCCCTCATGTGCCCCAACGCGTCTTCATGTGGCCCGACGTGCCCTCATGTGACCCGACTTGCCTTCATGTGGCCCGACGTGCCCTCATGTGGCCCGATGTGACCTCACGTGTCCCGATATACCCTCATGCGGCCCAGCGTGTCCTCATGTGACCCGACGTGTCCCCATGTGGCCCGACGTTAACGTTCGGTCGTCCACACGCATTAGTCCGCGTCGGAAAGGCCATCTAACAACATATTTTTGCGCGTGTTTTGAAAGGTGAAAGTAACTTCATGACACGGTCGGTGCCATGTACCGGGCAGGTCATTGGTGGAAGCGTGGATCAGAACTGACCTCGATCGCAGCATAGGCTAGTCCGAAACAGCGGCCATAGGCCGAAGTTATAAAAAAAACGCCACTTTCTGACCAAAATAAGGAGCAGCGCGAAAAAAAGAACACCCATCTCCCAAATGTTACTAAATCGAAGACGCTACGTACACCCGTCTTTTTTCTCTGTTTTTTTTTTTTAACTTAAAAAGGAGACAGCTGTCATGCTGGCTTACATTCTAGAACAATCATACCTTGAATGATAGAAGGTAGATTGGGGCTCGTTGATGCGAAATTGTGATGGTTGGATTTCAATTATTTCATATATCCCAACTTGTTTTTGCTGAAGAGTATTCGCCGGTAACATAACTAAACCTAACCTAACCTTAGCATGTCGAGAATGTATGCAATTTCTGAAACGACACATCAGCAGAGCTGAGTTCTAAATGGCTAGCTTGATCATTGAGTGGGCTGGGGTCGATGCGCCCGAATTTGTTTTGGCTTGAGAGTATCAGCCATCGGCCTATTTCAGGACAAGATGATGTGCCCCGAAATGCAGGAGTGCCGGCCCGAAGACGTGCCCGAGTACAGGGACGCGCAGGATCGCTTCTCCGTGAAAGTTCTCGTCGGCCAGTACAAAGGTGGGATTGACATCACGCTGAGCGAGGCACGACAAAACAGAGAACACGTGTTTCCACGTTACGCTCTGGTCCCATCGCATACGGAAATGCTTGGGCATGTCCACTACAAGGTGTGCCACTATATGGTATAGATGCTTATCGCATGACCGTTGCGCACAGCAGCCCCCATAGAAAACAATGCTTACACCACACCAGAGTTGGCAAAACGTTTGCCTAGAGACAACGCGACTGACTGAGAGAGGTATTCTGTGCCATACTTGGCGTCTGAGGTGCCATGCTGCCCCCTCCCCCTGCCTTACCCTATCACTTAACATTTGTTACAACACACCAGTCAGTGCGGTAGTCAGTGCTAACGTAGCACAAGCGACTGAACATCGCGCCTGTGTTTGCGTAGTGTTACAGCTGCTCCGTTCTGCTGGCCACTACAGCTGTATCTACACGCTGGTGGCCGACTGTCGAGTGACCCACTGATGGAAAGGTGTCGTGTAACATAAAAGCAAAATAACCATCAGTCCGCCCCCCCCCCCCCCCCGCCTTTGGAGACAGCAGCTTACCGCACCAAAAGCAACCACTGACCGTAGCGGACCGTGTTCTGTATCTGTATCTACACAGTGTTCTGTATTTGTGTAGCTGGTGCCGTCACAGTAGATACAATACGCTGCCTTTGGACATCGGCTATCAGCAATTCTATGCTAGCTCGTCACCATTGTCGAAACCAGGCCTTCCCGTGATGCTTGTTGACGCACACTCACACACCTGACATACTGTTCCTGTTGTGTTTTGTTGCTGGCCGTAACGCTTTAGAGTAAAACACTGTCACAATGGGAATACAGTCAGGCAGAGAGCTATCCTCGCAATGGGTCTGTGTTGAAGTTTAGAGAAAACTGCTGGCAACAAGGAGGATGCATATTAGGGTGTTCCAGAATAATTTTGGTAAAGGTATGGCTGCTGGGGTTGGTCTGGTTCTCCGACTCAAGGTGAAAGTGCTCTCAGTGGTGTTTTTTTTGTCCCAATTTTGCATGTTTAGAGGGTGCACACAACACTAAATGTTCAGAAGTCCTAAACTATTTTCGGCCTGAGCAGACCAACGAGCCGTTGAAATGGATATTGACATCGATATACCTGGCATACCTGGCATACCTGGCATCGGACGTCGTTAAAGAATGCGCCGCTCCTAGCGCTCACATACCGTGCCGGCTCTACAAAATCTTATTTAACCACTGTGTCACTTGACCTGAGGGAAACAGTTAGAAAGTTGGGGGAAAGGGTGGGTGCCTAGTGCTTAAAACTGAAAAACAAATAAGATGGGTGTCAAACGAATCCTTGCTGCCATATTGACTCGCTGTTGTGTGTCTGTGTGTGTGGGGGGGGGGGGGGGGGAGGGGGGCGTGTGCGTGTGCGTGTGCGTGTACGTTTGCGTGTACATGTGCGCGCACGTGTGCATAAATGTGATGCAAACTCGTTTGACCTTACCTTGACCCCATCTTACCTCACTTTTACCTTCCCATCCTCTTTTGCCATCGACAAAGATAAAATAAAATATCACATGTAAAATGAAAATATTTACATGCCACACAGACCTTACTGTTACTCCGTTGTTCCATGGAGGAATCGTTATGAACGCATCACATCTTGCACGCCACTAAACAGCGGAGAGCAGCCAGTGCCCGTCGTTCATTCGCTCACCAGGAAACTCATCTGCCGTGGGGCTTCCACCCTCTGAACCTGTCCACCGGCTACAAGGCCTGCAAACGTGCCGGTCATTGGCATACCGCTCTCTGCGAAGTCATGTGTAATTTTTGGACCTCTCTCCAAATCACGATTTAACGAATAGCTGTTGTTGGTTTCCATCAATCATCAATCGACTTGTAAAGCCGCCGGTTTGCTCTGATCTGCATAAGCTGGAATGCCAGCCAAGAGGACTCATCTACCAGATTCAACAGTGGTATCCCCCGGTCCATGAACGGTGCAGCATCGTCAGAATAGGTCTGCTGAGTTTGGGGATAAGAGACGTGATTTTAAATCCGTGTTTAGATCCAAGTAATCCGAATGTTTACATAAACTCACCGATGACTTCAAGACCATCCCCAAGCGGTATGAGTGCGCAGACGAGTTAGGTGTAGGTGTAGGTATCGTTTAGTCTGATCCAATAACGGAGTGTTAGACAAAGCCATACATCTCTGAAATACTTTCTTAGGCAATACAACAGTCGAATGAACAATTACAGGGACCTAGGGTCAGTTATCAATGTCAGACCAGGGTCAAAACCAACCTGCTTTATTATTAGAGGACTTGCTGCATGGGGTAGTTTCTGGTGCTGATTTCGAATTTATTGATAACAGGAGCCGCATTATACACCTTCCGTACACTTTTTAAAGTTCAAAATAGGTCACTGACCTAGAATGACCCAGGTCAAAATTTTGTTTGAGGAGCATACTGCCTAGCGTAATCTATGTCGCTTATCCAAATGCAACATCAAAGTGGTTTTGTATGATTTTGGCCACCATGACCTCCAAAAGGTCAAATGAGGCCACTGACCTCAGATGAACACGTGAACTTTTGCTTAAAACAGTTATCTAGGTTCCAGTGGCCCTTTGGAGACCAGCCTGGAATTTGACCTTATTTGACCTTATTCAACCCGAATATTATAACCTAGAAACCTCAAACTTTGACCTAAGTGAGTCCACGTACAGGTCAACACACCCTGTTAATTTGGTATTTCTAGCCCCTTAGTTTCTGAGATCTCAGGGGGGTTAAATTGACCCCCACCCGAGCAAAGGGTATCCAACCGGCCACCCGGGTGCGTGTTAAGAAAGGCGAAAAAGGAGCCATCAAATTACAGAAGTATGCTTCTGCTTCCTCTGTTCGGAAGGACACCGGAACGGGTCGTGTAAGATGAACTGTCTCTCCGCGTCTCGCCGGTGTTGTGCCATCGGCAGCATAGTTTTATTTCTAGGCATTCTTGCAGCACAGACTTATGTATTTAACTTCAATTGGCTGAGGAGGCCATGGCTGACGGATACCAGGCGAATGCCATTTACACTGATTATTCGGCTGCTTTTCAGAGCGCTAACCATGAACTTCTCATCCACAAGCTAAAACAGTCATAATATTTGAGGGAATCTGCACCATAATGATTTGCCTCATATTTATCCGACAGGCGTCGGAGGGTTATCGTCAACGGAAAACCTCCGATTGGAATCTGGTGACCTCCGGCGTCCCAGAAGGATCATTCATGGCTTCCCTCCTTTTTTCACTGTGTATTTACAATCTTTCGTGCGTCACGGAATCCGGCTGTCTTTTGTGTGCCGATGACGTAAAAATTATCCGCAAAATTACGCCCCAGCTGACGGACTGCTGCTGAAGAATGATCTTGGTCATCTGGTGGCGTGGTCGGTCACGTGGGGCTGACCCTCAACCCTGCAAAATGTAAAACGTTGGCCAGGACCCTCAGGCGTGCACCCATCCAGCGAAGAGCTATATCAAGTAAATTGTTGAGTGCACAGCGAGGAATATTATTCACATAGATAAGACAGCAGTATTAGCCTTATTCCTCGGAGAAACAGGAGAATGCAAGTAAAGTCAGATATTTCGGCAACATGCCCTTATCGAAATAATAACGGAAGTTAATTCAACTGGGACGATTTAGCAGAAGTGTGATTTAACAGAAGTGAATTCAATTCATTTCTGCTATTGTTTCGATAGACATGTTGCCGAAATATCAATGCAACTATATCTCCATTCGCCTGTTTTTTTCGAGGACCAAGTGCTATATCGACAGAGCTGAGCTTGAACATGTGTGTAAAATTAGGGGCCATGACGTAACGCTGGATACCAATCTATCTTTCGCTGCACATGTCTGTGGCATAGTCAGTAGGGGGCAATTGAGCACTTTGTCTTCTTACTCGGCCCTTCCAAGTCGTCACCAGCTGCTCAAAATTCAATCGAAGCGCAGGGATGGCTGCGTATTTTGCAAACATGCGATCAGCTTTAGAATACTTCAGCGTGGTATGGGGCGGCCAACGCCCAGGAAGTGCGAGTCGATCGAGTGCAGCACAAGCTTCTTATTTAGTTGCTTACTCACACATTCTCCGGGCAAACAGCTTCTCTTTCTTATGACAACCTTGTGCTTCATTTTAAAACCCAATCCCTAGAAAAACCCAATCTTGCTGAGCTGTTTCCCTTGCTTGTGTCGCCTCAATTGACCCGCACACGAACTATGCTCGCTGTACCTCGCGCTCGTGTGCGAACAGTACAGAGCGGTCTGCTTTGCAGACTACCAAGCGTTGGCAACACTTTCTTAGCGAGCGACACTCGCAAAGATGTCTTTCATGACAGTTTTGGCATCTTTAGAGTTCAAGAGATGAGGTATGTGTGAATTCCATATCATCTTCACTTTGCTTTGAAATGTTATCCTTTGCGTCATACTGTTGTGTGCTGCGTAGTTAGTGTGATTTATTAAAACGACCTTACATGTTAACTGAGGGCCGCTCTGGCGATTAACGAAAATGAGCAATAAGCATTAAAAAACTGGCCATCAGCATAGATGACAGTGTCTAAGCCATGGCTGCTTTTCATCAGCGCTGGCGTCACCCAAAACGAGACGGAACACGATCATCTTGGACCTCAAAAAGGTCAAGTGACGAAGCTCATGACGGCCGACACTGGTCCAACCACAGGCTCGGTAACCATCCAAAATGACGCAAAATGACACGTGACAAAATTATACCACTGATCTCGCCCTGAGTCAGAGAGCCATACTAGCCCGGGCAGCCATACGTTTTAAAGGTGTTATTCTTGGACGCCGTCCTGCCTATGACTATCTGCGCAGAGCAGCGTGTCAGCCAGTCGGCGCGGCGCCGACTGCTGATTGCGGTGCGCATCGGCTGCTGATTGCCGTGCGCGCCGACTGCTGATTGCGGTGCGTGCCGGCTGCTGATTGCGGTGCGCGCCGACTGCTGATTGCGGTGCGCGACGACTGCTGATTGCGGTGCGCACCGGCTGCCGATGCTGATTGCGGTGCGCGCCGACTGCTGATTGCGGTGCGCACCGGCTGCTGATTGCGGTGCGCGCCGGCTGCTGATTAGGGTGCGGGCTGGCTGCTGATTGCGGGGCACGCCAGCTGCTGATTGCGATGCGCGCCGGCTGCTGATTGCGGTGCGCACCGACCGCTGATTGCGGTGCGCGCCGGCGGTGGCCGGGGGCGACACTCGGCCTCCGCTTCCCAATACTGCTTTGTCCCATTAGCGTAGCGGCCGCTCACAACACCCGCGGGATGTTTGGCCCAGTCCCGGCGGCATACGGAAAATTCACAGCAGGGTTGGGGCTTGAAATGTGCCACCGTTCGCCACATTTATATGCGGCCCGATTTGGATGTTTGGGAACACGGCCTCCTGAACTCCGAACCGTTTGTTCAGCGGCGCAGCTCCCGATAGAACTCCCAAATATGCACTGTCCTTTATTAGATGGAACATCTGTGGTACTATGGGCGTCATTCTCCGTCTTGGAAGGAGTGGATGTCAGCCCTTTCACCAGGGGATCTGTGCCACTAAAGCTGTTTTGAGCTCCTTAGATGTTCCATCAGGAGTCATTCCTGATGCCGATCACAGATGATCGAGACACGGAGTCTTATAAGTGTAATAGAGCCTTAAGTAATGTAGTAAGAGTCTTGCTGTGTAACAGATGTCCCGGGTATACTGAAGGCTGATGATTTTGTCAGAGCTCGAAAACATATCCATCATGGATGCACGCGAGGTAGTAGCCCCGCACACCATGAAGTCTCTTTGCGTTCGTTAGCTTTTCTTGAATTATTTTCTCACACATCCGACTGCGAGATGAATAATGGTCCGTGCTCAGTAGGAACTCAGCAATTAAAAGAGGCATAGAACGTCTGTTGGGGTTCGTAACTGTCATTGACGGCAAAGTTTCGGGAGATCTCCGAACGTTGTTATAAAATGTTCGGAGATTTGCGGACTTAGCCGGCAGTAAATGAATCGGCTTATTGCTGAAACCGATTAGCTGCTTCAAGAAATTGTCGAATCGTTGAAATGGTACTGCTGAATAGTTGAAGCTGTCTTGCTGAGTTACAGCCTCTTGTGTACCGTTTAACCAATTACTCAATAGATGTGATAAAAAAGCACAAATTAGGTGTTGACAAGTCTGCAGCCGAAAAGTTTCTAGACGCGGGAAATAAGCTTGCAGTAATATCGGACATCCAAGCATGCAACTTTGCCTGATGATTGCTGAAAGATAATACACTTACCAATAGCGATGCAATGTAAATTATTCTGATACGAGCAGAATATTCTGTTAAAGAGCCAGAGGGCAGTTTCTCCCTTGCTTTGGCCATATATATGAGAGAGCAGGTTGTCAATCCCAACAAATGCCAAATACCTTATATGATGCTCCTTTTGCGCTCTCCCTTCGGCCGTAACTATATGAATTTACATCTATATATCTGTAGCGATATGAACTTATATCTAACGTTGAGGCATGTGTGTGACGCCCTTTCGGCCATAATGGGACTATTTCTGCCGCTTACCTGCCTCCCATGTCTTCCATGATAGGACCAAAGCTGTGCGAAATTTTATATCGAAAGACGGAATTCTCTGGTTGAACGTAAGGTACCACATGGATCGGGAGGGAGAAGTGGGGGGGGGGGGGGGGGGGGCATCAGTTGTTGTGCATGGAACTGAAAACCGTCGTCAGTAAGGCCCATTCTTTCACATCGCTACGCATTCCTGTGCAAGCTTTGTTATTCGTAGTGTTCACGGTCTGATCAGCATCATATGCCGTAAGATGTGCCACCTGATCTTGTGTAGGCATGACCTCTGACCGGTCAGTCGCTTTCCCCAGGCTTTCCAGCCTGAGCTGTGACATCTGGTACTCTAACTTTGTCCTATACCTTCCTGATCTGGACGTCGATGCTTTAGCCTTTGGCGTCGGCCGCGTCGGTTACTATGTGCCCTCCGCACGTTTGATGTCAGGGCATGGGTCCTCGGTGCCCTTTGCCATGTCTGGCATTCTTTTCATATTCATGCGTGGATCGGTGCGAATTCCATGAGGATTGATGGTGACCTTTTGATCTATACAAAAGTTTGTACCTCATGTTCAGTCCCTCAGGGCGGAGTGTGTGACGTCCTCCCCGCCCGCCGTTCATCAGCCCCATCACCGGTCCGTTCAGTCACTCAGGGCGAATTGTGTGACGTCCTGCCCGCTCGCCGTTCATCGGCCCCATCACCGGTCCGTTCAGTCACTCAGGGCGGAGTGTGTGACGTCCTCCCCACCCGCCGTTCATGGGGCCCTTCAGCGGTCCGTTGGTTGCGGCATCTGCGCTACCGGCTAGGTCTTTGTTGACGCCCGGTGCTGTACTGCGTTCTTTTCTGGGCGTTCGACCTCGAGGCTTCTGTGCCGTGAGGTCATAACTGAGGTCTGGCTGCCCCGATCACACGGAGGGTCACTCAGTCCTGAGGTGCCTCCTGGGCTTGAGGTGCGGTTTGATCGCAGCAGAGCTGTCACGTTTCCTCCCGTCCTCAGGATGTGTGGCAGCTGAGGCGCCCTGTGATCGTGCCGCGCCCTCAGAACTGGTGCTGTCCCCGAGTCTGGCCGCTGACCCTTCCGGCGGTCCTGGCAGAGATGCGGTCGCCGATCCGGACGCACACGCCGGTCACGCTGCTGGACGTGCGGGTGTCGGCGGGCGGCGCCTTCGGCCTCGAGCTACCGGCCGGCCACACGTGCTGGCTGTACGTGTGGCGCGGCGCCGGCCTGCTCGGCCACGTGGAGCAGCGGCCCGTGCGCGCCGGCCACGTGGCGCGACTCAGCGACGAGGGTCACGCCTTTCGTGCCGAGGCTGGCAGAGAGGAAGGTCAGCGCGCCGGGAAGCTGCAGCGCCACGACTTCCATTGGTGGGACGTGGTGGGCCTGTCCAGGATGTGGTAGCCGGAGATGGGCACGCTGGACCGGCAGTGAGAGCGGGTGCTGGCCAGCGAGACGAGTGAGGGACGGGGACAGGGTTGGAACCGGGGTCTGTGTGGCAAAAACGGTCATGTTAATGTGCCGCGCCAGATCTGTCATGCACAGATCTTGGCCAATCCGCGGGGGCGGGGGGGGGGGGGGGGGGAATGCTGCAACTGGTTGAGCGTTTTACCTTCTACCGCTCCTAGTGTGGGTTGTTATGGCTGTTCTGTCCTGCTTTGCATTTCTACCGCCGTTTGAGGACAAGCGAATTACGTTGCAGACATGAGGCTACTCATCGGTTCCGGGGTACCTCTCAAGGAGTCGGTCTTCAAGTTTGGCACCTTTGTAATGAGCTCCGTCTCCGAGATTGAACAGGTGCGTCCAAACACTTTTCATGTCCCAATAATTAAGATTTAACGGAGGGTTAGTACTGCGTTCTTGTTCCAGCCACTTTAACATTGACCATGGTCGAGCCGTGGACGGTGAAGCACACTGGCCTTGTTTCTTTCTTTTGCTAACGTTGGGTAACAGAGCGCGGTGACATTTCTAATGCAGGGAAATCGAACGGGGTGGGCTTGTCGGTGTTCTCTCAGTCTCAGCATAGCCTACAGCAGCTACTGAGTTATAAAAACCGAGTAATGCCAGCGTGCTATTTTTTATGGACCTGTCAGTGGTGAGGCTTGTCAGATAATTAGCCATCGCACTAACAAGGGCGGATCAGGTATCCTCCCACGCGACAGCTTTTAGAATAGCTCCAGAGCAGTGTGTGCCATCGTCCTGATACTGCTAGAACCTTATCCTACATCATTTTCAAAAAGTTACAGTAAAATTTGAAAGAAGAAATCACGTCAGGACAGTGATCTGTATAGGTTTTAGCTAAGCCATGTCGGAACAAAGGGTCGTTGAATATGACCTTTGTTAGTGACGCGTTACAGTCTGGTCGCGCTTTTGGTTGTTTAACTTTATGCATAGCGTTGCTTTACCTGATCTCCCAAGTGCTGCGATGCCATCATAGGTCACTAGCCAAAATTTGGCACTTGCTTCCCATTTTCAGTGAGATGCTTTTTAGTCAGTATTGCGAATATCTTATTCATTTTCAGACTCGGCAGCGTCTCTCGTATCCCCAGGTGACGTTTATACCAAAGTGTCGTCACAGATCACTGTTCCAAGTTGGGTTTTATCTCGCAATGTTTATCATAGGCACCATACAGGCACAGTTGTTCGTCTACGTTTATTTTTAGACTTGATGGTGTTGTTCATTCATTTGCATGTCACGTTTGCCCACAAATGTCATCGTAAGTCATTGGCCTATGGTGACCTTTACATGCCACTGGTAACTGGCTGACCGGGGTCATATACCAGTCGTACACAATTATGTACTGAACATAGTGTCGCGGTTTACGACGTCTCTCATTTCCTGACATATTGTAAAGACAGAGTCCATATAATCCATACAATTTGGTTGGATTGTACGGATTAGTGGAAATTCTAGATGACCTATAATGGCATTGACTTTAACCTCAGAGTAAGACAATATGACGGGTGACTGTATGTTTGCCAACTGTACCAGGCACTTGGATCTTGGCTGACGCCATTTGGTGGATCGCTATTGCCGTCGGCAACCTGTCCTGGCCTGTTGACGCTGGCAACGCTGGGCCGCTGTTAACGCGCCGTGCTGGACTGTGATCGTAGGTGGCCTGCGCGCCGACCACTGGTCGCCGTTTTGACCCTGTGCCGGCCGCTGCAGGCGCTCGAGGACTACCGGAGCGGCAGGCTGGGCCAGATCACGGTCGGCGAGGGTCGGCCCGGCGCGCTGCCGCCGGCCGCGCGCGGCCTCGACCTGCTGAACCCGTTCCAGGGCGAAATAGAGCGCCTGGGAGGCCCGGACGGCGCGGCCGAGGGCGCCGCCGCCGCCGCCGACCCAGCCGTCGCGCACCTCACCAACGGCCACCGTCACTGACCGGCCCCCGTCTGCTCGCGCGCCGTGGTACGCACCGCCGCCGACCACGTGCCGCGCGCGCGCGCACACATCTCTGTGTGAGATAGGCAGCGGGTCGCTGTTGACGGATGCATGGTTGTGGTAGCTCGAGATACCGATCTGTGCCATGTTGCAGGGGTTCAATTTCTTTTGTGTGCTATCGTCCTTGCCCTCTTCATGTTTTCAATATTGTTGCAAGCTCCTAGCGTTGGCCCCTTTTGGCTGAACCAATGAAAAGCAGTCAGGGAAGTCGAGCATCGCGCCCAGATTACATACCATGAGCATTGTGAGACGACCATGGAAAGTGTGCTGCTCAAATATGAAGCACATTTGCCATGAACATGTGCTTTCTAACTCTGGATCAGTTCTGGTTAGATATGGTCTTGTAGACGTGATCAAACACCAGAACAAAAGATCATAAACCCTAGCCTCATCAAGCACCAATTCGGTAAGCACTACAAAAGTTTAACCAGAGGCCTCGCTGATCGCAGCATTTTCGAACGTTCGCTTAAACTTTTTCACACTTCACTCATTTCACAAAATCAGCAAACATACGACAACCTTCACCCAGAATTGTACAATGCAACGTATTACCCCACATTATTGATAATCTTACTACTGTTCAGTCATAAGCCCTGGCCACTTAGGACTAACTTCCAAGACGGGTAGGCCATAACCATATATGGAGATGATAAATGTAGAGGTTGCCGTTGGTTAAGATAAAAGGTACTAAATCTCTTAGGAGAAACACATTTTGGGATAGATTATGATTTTGGGCTCCCGGTTCACACGGTTATTTTTTGCTGATTTACACAAAACAACGACCGTGCCGTGCTTCGCTAAAATGGATGGCGCAGCCTGTAGCAAATGTTGCCATGTCACCTTACACGGCGTCAGCTGGCTTCAGGGCTGGGAAGGCAGCTTTGTAAGGATGAACAGTGAAAATACTGCTTTCATTTAGCAAACCAGCATGGCCTGGTAAGCGTTTCATAATGGTAGAAAATTATCTCGAAGTAGTTGGAATTTATAAAATTTTCAGCGATGAAATGTATCTATTTTGAACTGATATAAAATATTTTTCTATGGTATGCTGGTTTTTTTTTTTGCTGGTATGGACTTTTAATCGCCTTCCACCTGTCACACATTCCCCGAACTGAAGTGCAGATTTTACGCGCCGCCGTTGAGTCGGCGTTTCGCCAAGCCGACGCAAGACGTTTCGGGTCGAGAGTACTGTCTGCAGCAGCTAATGTTAAGCCTGTCCAGAATACAGCTGTAACAGGTGCGGGGGTGCTCCGGCTCATGTAGTGAGGCGCTCAGCAGTGCTTGGCTTATTTCCAGAGCCTGCGGACCTGAAGCGGGGTATGCCAGGACGGCATAAACCAGCGCCAGCGCCGGCTCAGCGCTACCTAATGACGTCATCACCGCAGGGCTGCCCCGAAGATGCGTGACGTCTGTCGACTATCCACTGCTGCTGTCCGCTACCCGCCCTGTGGGACCGCCGCTGGGAGCTGGAATGTGCGCAGCCCATCCGGTCTGTGACGAAAAGGCGCTGAAAGACCAGCTCGCGTAATGAGGCGAGAGGACCGCACGTGCGCTCGAACTCATGCGTGAGGATCCAACGATGGGTGGAATCGCCTGAGTGCAGGCTTAGTCATATATGATATGGAGACAGGTTGCGGTTTGGGGAGGCGCCACACCATTTACGCTTGTCGGCGACCAGACGGCGAACGGCGTTCGTAAGATTGTTAAGCATTAGCAAAGAGGGATTCTACGCATTCGCACGCACGTGTGTTTGAGAGTGTTGTTGCAGTCTGCGTTGGATTGCCTGTTCGGGTTGCTCCAGTCAACTTATTGTGCATTGTGGAAATTGGCCTGCTCCATGTATCAGCACTTTTTCACCTGTCGTTATGGTCTAGTCATGAATGCAAGACAACGTTGCTTGGATTTAGTAAAAAATAAAGACTGTATAGAAAAGAACGAATGTGGCATTTGCGTTTTGTTTCATCGTGCAAAAGTCGTAACTGACTGGGCTGATAACGCCAAGGAGGCAGGGGGTAACGGTACCCGATGACACGCAAGGGCAGCTTACCTCCTCGGCTCACCGAGTGAAGTTAGGCAGTTCGTCGTGGGCCCTGCACGAGTCATCTGACACGGTCAGGAGAAGCGTTGCGGCGGGGCCTACCGTGACCGAGAGGAGGCTCAGTTATTGGAGGATCTCGAGTGATTAACAACAAGCCATGTTGGGACTGATAAACTTTGCCCGCCTGCGTTGTTTCGTCCCCCGCGATCACCTGGCTGTAAGCGTTTCTCACGATCTGGTTATCGGACCTGCAAAATCCGCACGCCGATTGATAGTCCCGGTTACTCTCGGCCAGGGGACTTGACACTGCCCGTCGGAGCTGTGTGACGGCCACTGTCCCGTGACATAAGATCACGGGGTGCCCTCAATTAACTTGAAGTCTCCAAAAACTGCCGGATGACTAGAACTGTCTTGCGCATGTTGTGATAGTCACCTAACTTTTAAAGATATGTTGGTTACGCCGACATACCATTCACCATCGTTGGTACAAACCCTTTTGGTTCGACACAACCTGACCTCAATTGGCGTTTGTTGGTGTCCTTATATGACTTCATACACCACGACATGCTTCGACATCCTGCTTTGGCACACAGCCAAAGCAGTTGAACACATACAAAATGCAAAAAAAGGATATTGTAAATTGTTATTGCGAAAGCAACGACCGCACAAGGTCTTCATTGCATCGAAATTCTTGTCTTCCAGAACGTGTCAGGGTGATTACCTGTCTCGCACTGAACATTTGATAGACCAAGTGGAGTCTTTCGAAATACGTATCAAGCACTCGCAAGGAGGTTTTTGTAACGCCATGGCAGCTTGTGGACTCAGATTTGCTCGATCCACCTTCAATTGGCGTGTTGAAAGCAACAAAGCTGCAGCTGCATGCTGTGCTATGAGCGGGCTTTTATCAAGAGCGCAGGGTTCGACGTTACTTTGCTTACGTCATCCGCGAACAGAAAGAACGAGCGACAGTCGTCCTCGGCGCTGTTTTATCTTGATGTCGCCACCAGTTTACGATTCATTTCCATTTCCGCCAACAATTTTCTCTTTTGGTGAAACCGCTGCACGGATCCCACGAGTATTTACGTGCAAAAGGCAAGATCAAAGGCAGGGGCTATCAAATATACAGAGAAGCGCCTCTGTTCACGTTGTTTACCATATCTAGCGAGTAGTCCTTCTTCGTGGCAGTTCGTTGGCTTTTTGAAGAGAAGATGGAAGGACGCCTTGCTTTTTCAAAGCACAAAGTCATCCGTGATGCGTGATGATCCTTCATCCATAATGATCACTTCAATGACCTAATATTTATTCCATCATGTTGCGACACTACTACCTGGTGCGACAACACGGTAAAACCATGGTAGGTAAAAACGAGGCCGTTTTCGACCCGCATGCGTTGGCTGTTTGACCCAAAGGTCACCAAGCCTGTTGTGCAGTATATCACAAACATGTTTTGTCGTGGATACGGTTCAATTGTTCGTGTTACTGCGGATAAGACAGAAGTAAGAGCCTCATTCCTCGGAGAAAACCAGGAGAACGGAAATATACGTGCGTTGATATTTCGGCAACATGCCTTTGTCGAAACAATAGCAAAAGTGAATTGAGAATTACCTGCCGATGATCCTACTCGATTTTTCAGGTTTTTTTTAAACAGCCAGCCGCAGTTTTCATAGGACACCAACAACCATGGGATTAAACAAGGAACAATAGCCAGCCACTTCTACGATACATTGCATATCTTACTAAGAATTACAATACTCGAAAATACGTGTACGTGCAAACGAATTCAAATCAACAGGTGTCACGCATCACGTTTCATTCAAATATGCAAGCGAGTTGAAGCAAACGGGCATCACGCATCACGCATCAGTTATACATGCAAGCGACTTCAATTAAACAGGCATCGCAAATCACGCGTCAGGAATCACTTACACATGCATACGATTTTAAGCTAGCACACATCACACGTAAAGGCACACATCACGTTCGCATAATCGGCCGTGATGAGCCCTGTACGTTAAGGTCTGGTCGCCGACTTCTTATAAGAAAAGATTGTCAGCCTGAGCGTATTTTGCCTTAAAATGGTCACCGAAAGAGGCATTTCCTGTTTTGTTTTTGGCGTCTCACAGATGTTCATTCTATCTCAAACGAATCGGGCGCATGGACTCCCCGACATGATAGTCGCTGCTCTCAAAGGTCACGCTCTGACCGAGCGACGCTCGCGCCATCTCTGGGCGGCCTTTCAAGCGATCATGAAGATACTCAGCGCTCTAGCGCTGCTGACGCTCCTGGCGGCAGCCTGCTGTTGCAACGATGTCTTCCCGCTGCCAGCACGCGGTTCCCGTCTCCGAGCCGCACGAATTGCATCCCGCTGGTTCCGAGCGTGGGTGGCGTGCGGTGGCACCACCGTGGTGACCCTCCAGCTGGAACGGCTGAGGTGTCGTGAGCCGCTTGTCCTGGCAGGTGACATCGAACTAGACCCGGGTCCAGACGGCGCGGTGGCGGCACCGCCTGCTGCAAGAACGGCAACCATCATCGTGTACCACGCAAACGTCCGCAGCCTAAAGAAGCAGCTGGGCGAACTCAGTGCCTGCGTCCCAGCCCTGGAGCACTATGACGTGGCAGCAATACCGGAAACCCGGCTGGACGACACCGTGTTAGACTCCGAGTTCCACGTCGGATTCCAACGACACACCTGGTTCCGCCGAGATCGAGGGTCTGTAGGTGGTGGCGCGTCCTGCGCCGTCCGCATGGCACTGCTGCCGCTGCGCCTGCCAGACCCGGCCAACACTGGGGTGCTGCTGATCCGGCTGCAGGGTGCATTGGTTACTCCGACCGCGTGTTACTGCCTTCCCGATGGCGATGCTGCAATTGACTGAAACCTGCTAACCTGTCAACAGTGCAACGGCTGGCCACCAGTTTCACAGCCACCAGTTTCCAATGCTTCTGCAGTTCATGCAGAACCATCGTCGTCGGAGATTGCAACCTCCCTGAAATATACTGAACACCGGCGGCCGGAGGTGCCACTTCCAACCCTCGGAAAGCGTCGAACTGTGCCACCAAATTTGTCGACACGTGCGACATGTGTGTCAAGAGCCGTCAATTTACAGACACAAACCCCTACTTCCTTTCTTCGGAAAGGTACTGGAACAGGCTGCATATGATGCGTTGCACTGCTGCACTGCTGCACTGCGTTGCCACGTCTCTCCGGTGTTGTGCCAACAGCATAGTTCTATTCCTACGCGTTCGCAGGACGCTGACTTCTGTGTTTACTTGAAATCGGCTTGCGAGGACATCTCGGACGATACCAGACGAACGCCATTTTTACTGATTACTCGGCTACTTTTCAGATCGTTAACCATGAGCTCCTGATCCACAAGCTAAAGCAATGATACCATTTCGATTGGAAACTGGTGTCCTCCGGCGTCCTGCGATGGTCACTCTTGGCTTCCCTTCCTTTGTCACTGTTCGTTTACGATGTTTCGTGCATAATGAAATTTGGCTGTCTTCTGTGTCCCGATGGCGTAAAAATTCCAGCAAAATTACGTCCCCTATCGACGAACCGCTGCTGCAGAATGATCTCGATCATTGGTAGCATGGTCGGCCAGGTGGGAGCTGACACTCAACCCTATTAAATGTAAAACGTTCACGATGACCCTTATGCGTGCTCCCATTCAGACCACATATTATATCGATAGAACTGTGCTTGAACATGTGTGTAAAGTAAGGGACCGTGGCGTAACGCTGGATGCCAAACTAATCTTCGCGGCACATGTCTCTGACATAGCAGGAAAATCGAGCGCTTGGTCTTCTTATCCGGTCCTTCCAAGTCGGAACCAGCCGGTCAAAATTCAACCGAAGCGCGGGGATGGCTACGTATTTTGCAAACGCGCGATCGGTTTTATAATATTGCAGCGTGGTCTGGACGGGTTGGCCAGTTCCCACGCAGCGCGGGTCGATCAAGTGCAGCACATGGTTCTTGTTTGGTTACGTACACATTCTACGGGAAAACAGCTCCGCTTTTTCATGATGGCCTTCTGTTTCATTTCAAAACCCATCCGTAGCAGCACGAAGGGTGCAGCACGATTTACTCTTTTTGAGAAACGCCTTTCACGGTAAACCAGTTGCATAGCTGGGAGGACCTTTATAGGAAAAGACTCACCTATTTTCCTGTCTGGGTGGCCCTGCGCTCTGCAGATGACTTCGAGCTCTAAAAAGGTCATAGGGTCCATGCTTCCCTCAATTTTAGCCAGAGCTTGTTTTGCCAAAAAATGGTCACCGAAAGGGGCATTCCCTGTTTGTTTTTAGCGCCTCGCAGGCGTTCATTATATCTCAAACGAATACGGCGCATGGAACGACAATAAGCTAAAAAAGTCTCTTGTGAAATCTTCCATCTCGAAGTCCAAGTGTCCGGGTGGCAATGGATGTCATTTATGCAGCTCTGGGTTTCAGGGGTTTGCACGCAAAAAACGCGTTTTACGCGATCAGGTGTGGACTGTGTGAAAACATGAGAGGGACGTAATCTGTGTCGGGGAGTCCATGTGACCTTTTCGTTTGAGATCTAATGAACACCTGCGAGACGCTAAAAACAAAAACAAAACAAAAACAAGTTCTCATGGCTCCTCGAATGCCATAATGAAAGAGCTTTTCAGGATGCCGTAACGCCACGTCGTTCCATAAGCTTTTTCAACATCGAAAAACACAGCGCCAACATGTCGTTTTTCCCTAAGACTGGTGCGGATCTTCGTGTCGTGAGCTAAAAGATGGTCGATGGTACTGCGATTTTTCTGAATCCACATTGAGCAGCCGTGGAAACGTTGTCCCGCTCTAAAAACCACGACAAACGTACGTTTACCATGCGTTCCATCAACTTACAAATGCATGATGTCAGTGAGATAGGGCG